AGGTAATGAGACGGTACTAGGTCTTTCATCCACGGGTGTGAGCGGATATGTAAATGTACCGTAGTCATGAGGTGGTTTGACGGCAACTTTAGGAGTACTGTATTCGAACGGACTATAAACAGATATTGAGCCGGGAGATGGAAGAAAAGGATCACTGAGATCGACTCCCGGGAAATTAAAGTCTGCCATTTTGATAACTTTCGACATGCATGTATCAATCCTGAATTTGATATTGTGAATGAATTCGAGAGAACGTGAGACAAGAATGGTTGCAATGAGGGTATTGCAGAACCAAAAAAACAGAACGAAGGATTGAACGATAGAAATCGAAATTACTCCTGGTGAAGGTACTGACAAGTTCGAAATAGAACTTAGATGAGATGAACAAAAATATCAATTCTTCTCGAGCTGAGGATGAGTAAACTTAGAAGGCTTCTTATTGTAGCCAAGAACTCTCGCGGTGGATACTAAATTTAGGTAAGGAAATTCAGCCCAGCTAGCTCGTTGCACTGCAAAGACCAACTGTCATGTAAGCACGGCGATATCGATGTCATATGAAAACAGATCGAGAATTAAAAACAAAAGACTAGAAGATATACCAACATATCAAATATAACAAAACAAGTAAGACATAGCCATTCAAGCCAGCTGTTAATGAATCGAACAACGAGAAAACTAAGTGAGTGTTCGTGTTCAATAGAAAGATTGTTGGCGATATGGTGGCTGAGATCGACTGCGACTCTATGAGATCCAATATAAATAACCTTATTAATTAAGTGAATGCTACACCTCCACTCTCGAGCCACCCCACCAACCATCGATAACGTACCCAACCAATGAATGTCAGTACACGTGAGAAACATGACCACTGAGCGCTTGCGATGTGTTTACAGACAGGTAATTGATGCCAGTGAGTGACGGCTTTGTTGCATGTCGGAAGAAGAGGGCATTATTTAGATACTTGGCTGTGTTTCCGATTGATTGGGTGTCATCCTAAGGCTACGTCGTATTACCATCCTCTTTAAGGTTACATCTCTTTTCGTAAATGGCGGGAGAGGAGAACCAAAATCATGGTGATCGTACGGCGTGACCTCGTACTTGAGGATGTTTATCTCGCATACCAAGCCTTGTCAATAGAATCATATGATAAGATTGGTCAGGTTGTATTGAAACGAGGAATTGTTGCATGTCTCGAAATATGTATGCCCTATTGCCCAGTTCCAAAAGCGTTAGAAAGACATTATTGTTAAAAGGGCATTTATATCAAGGTTTTAAGGATATCCCTGGTCTCGGAGTGATATCGATAATCTTGTTTTTTGAGATGTGCAACAGACACGGAGACTCACCAATTTGGGATCGATGTCCGTTAGACTCCATTCAGTGTGAGATTGTCCCGATCACATGTCCAAGACTAGAACTTCAGCATCTGTCTATTCAATCTAGTGTTACGACAACAAGTCAGAATACATCGAAGAGCGATTAATAAACCAAAGTAAGAAAGTGAAGAGAAGCAGAATCATTAGGGATCCTTGCTCTCTTAGCTAACCGATTTCCCTACTACGTGCACGTCCCTGCTATATGCACGATCTTGATCACCCATTTTGAATCACTTTAAAAATTAATAACAATTCCAATTTATAAGATAAAGAGCTAGCAATTTAATTGATAAATGACAAGATATAATACTATCTAAAAACATAATAAAATCTTCAGATTTTGAATTTCGATGGAACTCGTAGTGCTCGCCCTCTACTAGATCGCAATATGACCTCCTCCTCCTTCTCCTTCGAATTATTAGCCTCTACAGCATCAGAGAGCTCTATAGTCTTTGTTGATGTTAGATCTATAGTAGAAGAAGCTTTGGGGAACTTTTTATCTCTTTTGATTGGAGATTTCGTTGATTTTAGAGTCTTTTTAACCTCCTCTTTCGCATCACGTGCAATCTGACGATCAACCTCCCTCTGCAATACTCTCTCTTTCGTCTCAATCTCCTTCCGTTCCTTCTCAGCTTTCTTTTCAGCTTTTATTTGAAGCTTAGCTTCCTTCTCTTGCTCCTCTTTAAGTGCTTTATCTTCTTGATACGCTCTAGCTTTAATAATAGCAGAGGGTGACCATAAAAACGCACCATTCCCCTCCTCTCCAATGAGATTTAAACGCTTTGAACGAGCTCTTTTCCTTTTTTCAAGCTTTAGAGCCTCTTCTAAACCTTTAGATCTATGCCCCTGTATAGAAGCTTCAGCTCCTAATGTAGTTGCAGCCTTAAAAAGCTTTAAAGTGATCTCATGGGTGGGAGCGCGACGAAATTCTAATTTCATTCTACGCATCGCTTTTGACGTATACGGTGTAGCAAGAGCATCCCTGCGAGTTTTAAATGATGTAGGTGGCGTAGAAGGAGCTTCCGGAGCAATACAGTCGATCGTAAGACTCCTATTCATAGGATATATGCCCGTTTTTTCGAAGGATCGTAAGATATTATGCCTCGTACAAGTGAGCTCCCAAGCCTTTTTAAATATGCCCCAAAACATGCGCTTTGTCATACCAACAATTCCCCCGCTATTGTGCATCAAATCATTCAATAATGTACTGTAATTCGTTGAAAGGGCACCGAAGGTTCCAACGTCGAGAGGCTGTAGTCGATGTGTAGAATGAGGGGGGAGAATTAAGACAATAATCTTTAATTCATCGCATTTTGAAAGGAATTCCATATTGACATGACTAGAGTGACCATCGACAATAAGTAGACGATATCTTCCACCTGCTTTTCGACGTGTAGCAGGGTCGAATACGTTTATAAGCCAATATAGGCCAAAAGCATTCGACGACCACCCATTGCTTGAGGCTCCAAAATAGGCTTTATCCTTCTCCCCTACATCCTGAACCCATGTATTTTGTAGATCCCCTGAGTCTCCTTTATAAATAAGAGCGGGAGGGAGAGCTGTCCCATCAGCACATATAGCTGCCAGTAGAGTAATAAACTCTCTTGATCCATCTTGCCTAGCTTTTGTCACTCTGCCTCTATTATAGGCGCTAGCACTCATTATCCTCTTCATAGTCCTCCCCATACCGATCATAAAGCCCTTCTCGTCCCAATTGTATATATCTCTCGGCCGTATATCGTATTTTATGGTCACTTTTATCAACTAAATTAAAAAAAGAGGGGTATTAGCAAGAGCGTTTTAGGTAATAAAGATCAACAACAATAGAAAATAGCTCAAACCAGATCATAAAAGTAATCAAATATAGCAACATTATCGGCTTTCACACGCAAATTATCAATGCAACGGAGATACCGACTTTTAAGACGTGTTGAATGCCTCTTGACAAAATTGCTAGTCCAGTTCTTTCCCACCTCTCTGCCTAGGATCTCTTCTGCAAGGTTTCTGACTATGCGGCTTGTAGGAGGGATAGATCTCTGTGTCAGCTTGTTGATTTGATCAATTAAAACCTCCTCCTGATCACTAGAAAGCGCTTGTTTCGTATCGGAGAGGAACTGTTTTCTCGAGGTGGTTTTACCTCTATGCCGCCGGGAGAGCGTGGATCGATCAATTTTGAAGAAATTAGCTGTCTGGGTGTATTTAGGAGCTTGAACCCCTTTCAAATGATCTAATGCAAGCTCTATACGAGCCTCTAAAGGCATATCATCGATGTTTGAAGCCATAATGTTGATATTTCCAAAGTCGTGCACGTAGTAGGGACGTGCACATAGTGGGGAAATCGGTTACCCGATAAATGTAACGAATAGTCACGTGCTACGTAGATCTCTGATATACCTTACACCTCAAGCTCAATCCGATTTTCTACATACCTAGGTATTGAATACTGCATCAAAGACTCAACAGACAAAATCTCGCATATCCTCGTATCCAATTCATCCATCCTAACTCTATCAATATCCCACCCCGCACTTCCCAAGCATCCACCATCTTCAATTCTTTATCACTGTCACGCTAATCCGCATACGAAGCTGCTTTCCCCTTACCCGATAAAGTATGTAACATAGTCCCTCATCCTTCATCAAATCACCACTCTATCTTACACAAGACTTTTCCACTATCTCAATTCCATAAATCATGTCACTCACATTCTCGTCTACGGAGAAAAAACAGAACAGACCAGAATGAATCATTAGCGAAACCCTACAACAATCTAATTATTCGAAATCAATTCAAACAAGTAGAAGCTTGAATAATGTAATAACTGGAAACTAATAGAAGGATCTATTCAACATTATTTAATCTCATAAACCCGTTTGTTATTGAATTCTTATGAATTTTTATCAGGGTGATCAATTTTGGCCCTTTTTTTTCTCCCACATATAACTAACTCCCATATTTCTCGCTCGCTTGGAAAATTCACCTCGCTAACGATGATGGATGTATGTAAATACGCATTTTTTGATCAAGTTCCTATCTAGAGAGAGGTGAGAATATTTACTTTGCTTTCATTTTGATTTGATATGTTTTTTAGACCATTTTTCTGCTGCTTGGAGATTCGAGATAGAGATGAATGGATGAATGATTCATATTCAAACTATCTACTTGTCTATTTGAGAAAAATAAATAGATAGATCGATAGATGAGTTAGTAAATCCGCGTGTACGAAATTTCTCCAACAAATAGAAGTGTAAAAAAGTAGATAACAGAAATAAGCGGAAATTGAGAATTCAAAAGATCATTCCGCTTTCAATACGGAATCATCTGAATCTAGCGTATGCACCCTGACCATCCATCCCAGCAGATATTTGTGGTAAAACGATATCTCATCGCGAGGGGGGAAAAGCCCCCTCCATCACGCTATGCAATCTTTTGATGATGTTAGCACCAGCATTCAAATTTCTACCCATGACTCCATCCCCAATATGATTCCTCGATCCAGAAGCAGAAGCCAAAAAAAATAGAAGTAGAAGTAAAACCCATCATCTCTCCATCGATGTTAGATGAATGAGTAGAGATATCTGCCTTGCATACATCCCCATCTGCATCTTCGCCCCAATCTCCACGTTAATCCTGAGGTCTAGCATCAAGAACTAGTTGCTTTTGAAAAAGTCCTTCATTCTCATCTTCCTCTCCGTCAGATTCGCCATCAAGATCAATTTCATCCGGATTAATCTTCACTGAATTCTCCTTACCCTCTCCCTTTCCTTTGTCCACACTCAAAACCCCTCCTTTATCCACAATTCCACGTGCTTCATGATCACTCTCGACTTCACTCTCCAAAATTGCCTTCTTGGTATCAGCTTCCGGGTCGAGGTCGAAATAAACCTTCGTATCTGCATTTTCGATTGTAGATCTAAAGGTTTCGAGGGTTTGAGTATTTGCGTTTGGCGGGGCTAATCTTGATGCAGTTGAATCGATCGGAAGACTGGGGAGAGATTCTCCGGGATGGGCAGGTTGGAAGGCGGAGATGAGTGGACCGAGGAACTGGACTGATGACTTAGCCTTGTGTGTAGAGGGAGCTTGTATTTGTTTTCTGGAGTGAGAAAATGGGAGGGACGTAGTGTCGTTGTCGGCGGCGGAAATGGCGGAGGAAGCGAATGAATGAATACTGTATTCTGCGGAGCTTGGGGAGGAGGATTTGGTGGCTATCGTTTGAGGAAGAGACGTGGTTGAGACGATAAGACGGGGTCTAGGTGTTGCATTATTGGAGGTAGGTGTGTCTGGCATGGGAGCTGGCACATCAGAATTTGATGTAGCTGATGATGTAGATGGATTCTGAGAAGAAGATTCAGCGGCAGCAACTTCAAGGAGCCATTGCTTTCCGGTAATAATGCGAGGTGCACGTTTTGGTGTAACGAAAGAGGAGTCTTCATCTTTTTGCGGGGCATCAGAAGATGCTCCGACGAGGGTTGATGTGGATTCGGTACTGGAATGTGCTCGATGTGGTCGATGTCTGATAGTACCGGTATCTCCATCTTGACAACCAAAATCTTGAATCGATGTCGTCTCTTCCAATTCCTCCTCGACCTCATCGGCCCATGAACCTGTCTTCAAAGCTGAGCCCCTCAGACTGGGAATAACATCATGTTGCCTTTGTAACGCCGCTAATCTCTTTCTTTGCACCACTAAAACCGAATCAACAACTGCATCCACTTTCGAATCATCGGCCATTCCCTCAGCTCGACTTCCACGTCTATTGGTTTCAACTCCCAATCCTGTTGGAGGAAACATGGGTCTTCTCTTTTCAGGTTCTCTCTCCAATTCCTGCAAGTTTCCTTCACAATTATCCCTCTCAAATTGCAAGATCAATCCAAAATCTCTGTAGCCACCCGACCTGGTTAAAAGACTAAAAGCACTCCCAGCTTCATCCATACTAGAAAACTCCATTCTGAGAGTTCCTTCTTCATCGATGTACCATTCGAGCAAGCTGTTAGCCCTAAACTCATTTCTACTTTTCAAATCATACACGAGATTCCGGAGGGAAAGTGTTGGAGGAAAATTGGGGACCGTAAGAATACGAGTACGATTTAGCTCAAAGATCGTCCTAAATTTTCCTGGAGAGAAAGGGTATGTGGGAGTATGAATCTGTGTGACAATCGCCTGGGCTACATTCTCACCACCCAAATCTGTTGCCCCAAGCGTAATGGGATGAGCACTCGCATACTCAACATAAGCCTTGGCATCCTCCTGATTGATGAACGTAATCAACGCGGACTTACTACCCGTCAACTTCATTGTGTCCAATAAAACCGCCGAGTAGATCCTACCACCTCTAACCCTCGTAAGAACATCTCTCAGGCCCATATCCTCTGGAATACCACCAATATGGACACCTCTCAGAAAATCACACTCTCCTGGTCCAGGCACATAAAGAATTCCGTATCTAAAATAGTCCGGAATGTTACGATTTTTTGGATCGCAATCGCCCATGTGGGTCGTGATCTCACCGTCTCTCTGTTGAGGTGTTGTCCAGATAGTGGTTCCTGGCCTCAAATCGGCGAGTTCTCCGGATCGGGAACGAGTTGATGCATTCGAATTGCGTGTATTGAACCTATCATAGTAGACATTTCGATTAGCTTGACTTTGATTGGCATAATCGTGACCCCTCACAGCCTTTTCTGGAGATAAGTCAAAACCGGCTTTGAGGACAGCAGGAGCAGGAACATTGATGAAATTTGCATGTGCCTTTTGTTGAAAGAGAATTTGATCTTCGATTTTGATTACCGGTTCCTCATCGTCATTATCAGAGGCAAGAACGTCATCGAGTGTGGAGGTGTTGTAGTCGTGAATGGTTTTTCTCTTTTGCGTACTGGGGAGAATGGGAAAGCTGGTTGGAACCGATAAACTACCGTCTTCACCTCGCTGAAGATTGACCGTGTTGGGAAGATGGCTTGCTTCGCTGAAGCTGACAGGATGATGAGAGAACCTGGATTCTTCCTGAGTGCTGATTCTCCTTATGGCCGCATCAATGATGGGATGTTTTGTGCGTGGCCTGAATGGGATATGGTGGTTGGTTTCATCCATGGGAAACGTATCGACGTTCTTGTCTTTAAATCCAGCATCTGTGAGACTAGCATTGATTCCCATGTGATCAGTCTGTCGAGACTCGATGCGTTCCCAAAGAACAGCATTTTCTCTTCTCAATATTGGCACTACAACTCTCAACTCCTCCAACTCTTCGGCATCAGGATTTTGTAGCTTTCTCGTAATTGACTCTGAATTATTTGCAGCATTACCCAATGCCCTAGCAATGATGACGGAACTCTTGATAGCTTCATCTTTATCCTTTGTAGCATGGGCGAGATCGTTCTCGAGAACAGCAATGCGGATTTGCAACTTTGTGACGAGGTCTGCATATTCCGGAGATTCTGCGTATCCTGCATATTCTGCATTTGCTTGTTGATGTTTAGCATGCTTTAAGATGCGTTGTGGGTGTGAGGTGAGACCAAATGATGGAGGGGTGGTATAAGAAGATTGTTGGCCAATATGATCGAGTCTGGAAGACTCGCCCCCGTTCCGGTAAGACGAAGGCATATCCATGATTCCGTAGTATTGATAGATTTAGTAGATCATGTGTAATGCTATTTCGAGTTGAGTGTGGTCTTTGCCGAGCAGCAACTCGGAGGCTTTGATCTAGGATAAAGAAGTCGAAGTTCTGTTGTGTGAAGACAAACTGTGAAGTGCCGCAATCTGAAAAGCAAAATGGTAAAACTGGCGGTGCAGAAAATGAAATATGTGAAGTGTTTTTTTAATGGCAAATCAAGAAGGTGAAGTAGTGAACTTGAGGAATTCTGCGGGACTAGAAGCAAGTATGTGATCGAATATTGCAAGTGTTTGTAGAAAGCAAGGTGATAGTTTGAATAAATGAGTATCTACAAGATTGTAGAGGTATCTAAAAGTTGAGAGTTGTAAAAGGGAGAGGAAGTATGGGATGCGACTTGAGAAAACAAGTATTGCAAGATATTAGAGAGGTATCCAAGGTTGTCTACTGTAAAAGAAAGAGAAACCAGAATGGAGGGAAGAAGAGGTCGGAGGTCTTTCCTAAAAGGATCACAAGAATGGTCGGTCGAGGCGCCAGCTTGAGATTCTAGGCAGAAAAAGAGGAGCAGAGGAGATTGTGGATCAGAAGTGAATATCTCACTGTCCATGCTCGGATCAACTTCGAGTCAGAGGGTAAGGAGACTTTCCTAAAAGTGAATCGGAGAACCTGAAGAACCTGAGTAATCAAGATCGTGTATCCTTTCAAGTAAGTCTCAATGTCAACACTCCTAAACCATACTTCTACCTCTCTTGCTAATCCAGTTTAATCTGAAGCTGTAGATATTATTGACAGCCAAAAGATAGACTCCCAACCCACAGCAGAAGAAAACGGTCTCAAGTCCAATGCAGAACCAGAATGTTTCATAAACTAAATAGTTGAGAATATAACAAGTGAACAGAATGCAAGAGATGAGGATGATAACTTCTTTGGGAATTGTTGCCTGGACAGACATCGTGTAGCTATTTTTTGAGATGGTACTTGTGAAAGGATCTTTGGCTTTCATACTCTGGAGAGAAGAAAAGTCCACAATGGATTGATTCACTTACTAGCTTTCTAATCATGTGGAATACAGCCCACAAGCACCGGCTCTCAGATTCCTGAAATTTACATTTAATAGTCTGTCAGTCTAGACTATTTAACACTGTGTACAAGCAAATCAGATGGGAACTGTTGTCCACTTTTTATCCGGAAACCAAATGTAACAAATGACTCCCAATTCCTTTGCACTAAACAACAGATGAATATGGAAACTTCATAATATTAACAGTATCAACTAGGTATTTGATACCTCCTGAATAATGTACTCATTCAGACTGAACAAGACATTCCATTATGTGACGCTACCGCCATTCACCTGTGGTATCAACAAAGCTCCATCCATTAATAAATATATTCAACAAAGACGATATGCCTTTTAACTTTTCCCCAAACACCTTGCCCTGTCGCCGAGTCGAACGCCTCAGTCATGAATTCCATCATTTGTTAAAGATCCAATAAATTAAGTTCTTTGCTTCTTCTGGAGACTCTTACTTTCCCGTTTGCCCCTCGTTGCCTCTGCTGGTGTAGATGTCACGGTTGACCTAGTAGCTTCCTTGTGATGTCCTCCCTCAGCAGCATTAATGGCGCCCTCTCCATATCTGTATCCATCTGTTGTATTTTGAAGTTGATGTGGTCCCAAAGCAACTGGTGGTCTCATTTCGATTTCCTTTTCCCTATTTCTAAGATATCGCCTTCGGAAGTAGAATGCGATAAGCCAGGCAAGTGTTATTCCAATAACGAGTACAATAAGCATTGCAACCCATTTCGCGTGACTAGAGAACCTTGAAGAGAATTAGCTATTTGCATGACCGTTGCCATGTAAAAACTACGTACCAAGATTGATTTGTTGTGCTACCCGAACTTGACCCCGATGAACTCGACGAAGTAGCAGAACTTCCACTACTTGACGTAGTAGTCGATGCCGATTGCGTATTACAATATTGTTGGTACCAAGTCTCGATACTTTGTAAATCCGTTTCCGACGTACAGCTTGCAGCACCACACACAGAAGATACCCCAGAAGTTCCAGTAAGGAAAGGCGTCAATCTAGCATCTGCGCAAAAACAAGAGCTAGAGACATCGGGCGTCTTTGGAGGAATGCAACCCCCTTGAACATCGGAAAGAGGTCCACATTGCGAGGCACACGATGGAAGGTCGGATGAGAATGGAACAATGGCGCCATCTTGCAATTTTTGGGCTCCGACAATAGCGGGTAGAATTGACGTCGCAAATAAGAGGATGGATCGATACATTGTGTGGGATGTTGGTAGACGATGGTCTTTGCGATTGCGACAATAATCTACAATTATCTTCCGACTCTTCCACTAATTTCTCGTCGCTCGCAGGTTTCTATGATTGTTTCGTATATATGGCGTGCGGATATCTCCCGTGGAATGCGGATAGGAGATATTTATTGAGGGGATTTAATATGAGGTTGGAATTTCGCCTTCCGGTTTTGTTCCTTGATGGATGGATGAGCGGATGGCAGAATAGGCGATGGCTTCGACGCTGTAACAATTGATCGATCGTGATGGTATGATCATAGTCCAGGGATTCTTGTGTTACGATTTATTTTCTTCTCTCCATCCAAGTAATTTCGGTAGTGGCTAATATTGGAAGAAGATGCCAAGGTTTGGTACTGTTTCGGTTTGGACTGTCAATATACTTGAGGAGTAAAACGATTTACACACAAAATAATGCTAATGAACGATTGTTGATGAATGAATGTAAGAAGCAGTTGGTATCGAGATTATAGTCTGAAGGATTCACGAGTGGAAGGAGTTGGTTGTTTGTTGCAAAAGGGTACTTTGCTTTGGTAGAAAAGGTGGAAGGGGAAGGGAAGGGAAGGGAAGGGCAAGGTTCATCGAATGTGGAGATCTACTGTAATAATAAGCTAAATGCAGGCTTTTTGCGGGGGCAGATGGAAGTATAAAAATACGAGATGTTGCTTCACTATTCGGTCACTTGAAATATATATTGTGAGATTATGCAGTAAAGATATTGTTTATAAAACATTCATATATACAGATGTTTATACCCCCTTCAATCCATCGCCTATGAACTCCTCATCTTTCCTTCATATATGTCATACCTATACCCACCTAGGTACCTACCTAGTAATTATCCTCTCATCGGAAAATTTGATGTTTCCGTTCTGTTTCTTCTTCCCCCCACAACTCTGCCGTGTTAAGTAGTAAAAGTGGTCAGGTAAGGTAAGCTCTGCAGGAACGTTTTAGCAAATTATAGAATTATGGAATAATAGTGGACTTTTAACGATTAAGTTTCACACTAAAAGATTCTGTTAACCTTAAGTTTTCTTAATTGAAGCTTAATAAGCTTAATTCATCAGGGATCAATCAAATATCAAAGACTTCGTTATACTGCTCGTGTATTATCCTTAACCGAACACTTTCACTAAACATATCTTTATTGCTTTGAGAAGTGTGATCAAGTGATCTCGAAAATAACTTTTGCATGATGTGCATTTCAGGAAGAAGATTAGTTAGTCTATATCTAGGTAGTGAGACAGATACATTGCGATATGATATTCATAAATCTGCTCAATTAAGTACAAGAGCGGCACCAGTCATCATCATTGCGTTACCCCTCAATATTGATTCTCCTACCTAGACCTAGTACTTACTATACGCACTTGCTTTTTTCACAAACACACGGTCATCCTGATTTCTTCTCAGCTCAGATATTTCCATGAGTTTAACACCTCACAAAGTTTCACAGTTCAAATTATGACAAAGAAGAGTCGAGTTTTGATCATACGCGTTACAGGTTACACCCATTTTTTCATCCAGCGTTTAATATAGGCGCTCTGAGATGTTGGGACCAATATACTTATAATGGCGGATCTGTTTTGGACAAATCCCTTCGGAATTAGTCCATTGAACAACGATAAATACGAGAGTATGGCGTTGGTTCGCAGATCTGAAAAACATTGAAAAAATCAGTGACATGGTGGATATGCACAGGATTCCTGGGAAAGAAAGAATTCAGAATTACCCATTATATCACATAGTTGTGATTGCGACAGCATCCGCTCGCCACGGAGGTTTCGCTAAAGCTTGTCTTTAGAAAACAATACGCCCAAAATTCAGACCGGACGAGATGTCCATTATATCCATGCACAGATGATGATGTTTCTGTTTCCATTGACTCGTTAATGCTGCACATCATTGATATGAACAACAAAACAAGTTCCAGGAACATCAATGTTAGGCGAACAGCCTGTGTCAGGAGAACGAGCCCATGCCTTGATCACTTCAGATACTGCTGATAATACACATACAATTTTGAAGCAATTCTCAGAGAAACAAAGCCCTGTCAACAAGATATATAATCTGTGATTCAGATTTGGCAGAGAAAAGGAATAAAACTTATTATCCTATTCCCATCCCCTCATTAATAAGTTATCAGATTCTCACCCTCATTATCAGATCAATCAATCCCACCGCCCTGGCAGAAACTTCAAAAGTTTTGTTGCATATCTGCTTCAGGCTATGGTGCCTAAAGAGCCCCTGTAAATTCTATATAATTCCTAGTCTCGGAGCCATGTTCACTTCTATTCCATTGTCACCAACCAGCACTGGAGATTTTATAACTCTACTTCCTCCAAGTCTCACTTCTCCTATCACGAACCCCGCTTCCTTGCAAAATGTTGATTGCAAAGCAGGTAGCCCCACGCCGTTCCCTTTCCCTCTCACTCTACTCAAGTAACTATGATGATTCAACAAGCAATCGCCCACCATCAAGCCGTCATCATCGGTTCCGGTTCTGGCATTTGGTCTTACATCCACAGCAATGATTCGAAAAATCTATTCTATTCCCTCGTCAACTCTATTTACCATCTCTTCTCATCCAGCCAGGGAGAAAAATAAAGTCAGTCTCCGCATCCAGAAAAGGGCACAGTTGAAGAATGTAAGTTTTTGTATAGTAGATGATAATGAAGAATACTTTAGAATAAGATTTTAACATGTACAACAATCCAGGTCTGCCAAGGAGCTCGAGCACTCCATTAAACTAATTGTACCCCGAACATTGTGGCTATCACCGACTACTTTTAATGATTGCTCCCCACCCAGCAGATTCTTCCAAGAACTTTGAGTGTTTCGCCACTGCTTCTGCCATTGCTCTTGCTTTCCCATCCTACGGGCCAGTGTGCATGAGTTTTGGAGCCACCATCCTAAACTTCCTATCTTCCTTGTCGAACTTCTGTTTCGCACTTCTGAACTCCTCGACCCTAAAATCATCCGGCCAACCATATTCAACGAATCATCTCTTCTGTGCAGCTCTCTTGTCATAACCCTCGAGCAAGTATTGATCCGCGTCGGGTGTTGGATCCACAATCTTATACCCATTGGCAACATAATCGACATAACCAGATGGAGGAGCTGGGGGTTCTGAATCCACGTGACGGGATCTTCCATTAGACCATGGCATTCTTTCAAGTCTCGAAGGTGTTCTATCCATTGATCTAGCACAACTTTCGCAGGTACAGATGGCAAGTCTAGATACGTGTTTGTATAGCCTGGTGAATTATTCGGCCACTGAATAATGTGTTTTGTGCGAATATCGTAAATGATAGTTCGTCCAAATATATCCGGGCTGACTTTGCAGGAACCAAGGCGGACAGTCCATGGTGCAAGATCGTATTCCCCTTTCCAGAGAACTTCGCGAGCGTCGGAAGCATCATTCAAATAGTTGTAAGGAAGGGTGCCTTATGATATCTCATCATCCATCCCGAGAAACCGGAGATGTTAGAGGAGAGCAATAACTTCAGGCTCTAATCCAATCGTGACGAGCTCCTCTCTGGAAGGTTTCGATGTGGAGGCCGCCTGATCTCAGATTCTTCAATATATTCCATACGATGAAGAGTTTCATAGACTTGCGTCATGCCCTGTAAAAACCCTCCATGTTGTGTCTTGATGAAATCTTCCGTGAAGAATGCATCGTTATGGGTGGAATCAAGAGACAAAACCTCGCAAGATTGAGAGATAGGAGATTTCTCCCATGGCACCTCGATTTCAATTTCTGGTTTCTCACAAGCCTCTTTCGACGAGAGGCATGAAGAGCCTACCAACCTATGAGTAAATAAAGATTGCAATACTAGCGTAGCTCAGACCTACAAACAGGGAATCCTCCATCACATGTAGCTCCATTTGAAGCACATGTTAAGCACTGTCGAGCGGGGAGCTGAACGGAAGACATGTTAAATCCAGCGATAATCGTGAGTAGAAAACCTATACTCATCGCTATATATATGGTTCTGAAAGCCTGCATAAGAATGAAAGAATGGGCAGGCGAGAGTGTATTTATTCGGTCTACAAGAACGTGTGTTGACAGCTAGGAGGTAGGCGCATTGTCTAAGGTTTAAATCATTTAGTTAATTCATGTTGAATGGGTAAAGATAGAAATATTTTCCTACATACACACAAATTCCTAATTTACAACTCCATCACAGAATACACAATATACCCACACTCTCGATTCTCAACCCGACCCTCAGACCAAACACCTACCCTCAAAAAACGCGGGGTTGGGGAAAGAACGTTGTCCATCCAATTTTTATGTCAGAACCCCTGAATGTGACCCATATAAATACGCTGGTCGGCGGCGTGTATAATGTCAGATATATAAGATGTGATCTGTTAATCTATAGGTTCAGGTATACGATGCGAAGGGAGTGAATGATATATAGCTAGCAGTGAATGAAGGGAAATTATTTCGTTATTGCGTACTTTGGAGAATTTTTATTTTACCTTTATCACGGATTGCTGATTGATGCAAGGAATTTGAGGATCTTTATCTCTCGAGTACTTTTTATGTGGACAATTCGTTATTGAATGCTCATAAGCAATTTCAACACACCGTTTGATCACAATAAAAAACATGGGTTATATATCTTCTCACAACGCATTCCCAGTGAATGGCAAGGTGCGCAATTCTCCACCCGTTCCTTCCCCGAACCCTAAACTAACCTACCAAAAGACCATCTTAATCACCGGCGGTTCCCGCGGCATGGGCCAAGAAGTCGGTCATCAACTCTCCCAAAAAGGCGCCAACATCGTCATTGTCGCGCGAGATCCTCAAAAGCTACAACAAGCAATCTCGTACATCCAGCTGGGAGCCGCCAATCCCTCCACCCAGCGCTTCCACCACATCAGCGCGGACTTATGTTCCGCGACCGAATGCGCACGTGTGATTAATGAGGTGGTGGCGTGGAATGGGGCGCCCCCCGATACAGTGTGGTGCTGTGCGGGGAGTGCGTATCCGGCGCTGTTTGTCGATACGCCGGTGGAGCAGATTGAGAAACAGATGGCGAGTAACTATATGACGAGTGCGTATATGGCGCATGCGACGTTGAGAAGCTGGCTCAAGCCATTGGAGAATACGCAAGCTGGTGATCCCGCATCTAGTACAGCGGAGCGCAAGAGTAATACTGCACCCCCTGCGCGCCATCTTATTTTCACAGCGTCTTTTGTGGCGCTGTACAGTTTTGCGGGGTATGCACCGTATAGTCCTTCCAAAGCGGCGCTGCGCTCGCTTTCCGATTCGCTTTCGCAGGAGATGAATCTATATGCTGCGGCTTTTCCGGGTGCGCCGCGGCTGAGAGTACATACTATTTTTCCAGCTACTATTCTGACGGAATCGTACGAGACGGAGAATCTGACTAAGCATGGTCTTACTTTGCAGCTTGAGGAAGGCGATGAGGCTCGAACACCTCATGTTATTGCGGAGAGGAGTATTAAGGGGTTGGAGGGAGGAGAGGAACTTATCACGACGGATATGCTTACGTGGTTGGTTAAGGGAGGTGTGCTTGGAGGTAGTGTGAGGGGTGGATTTGGAAGAGTTATTTTGAGTTGGATATTAGCTGGTTTGATGGGCATCGTAATGGTATTTGTTAGGGCGGACATGGATCGGAAAGCTAGAGCCTGGGGGAGAAAATTTGGTGTAGCTAGGAGTGCGAAGAAATGATTTTTGGGTGTGGGTGTAATGTTTTCATGTTCTTGAGCGTTATTATGTGAATATTAAAGTGTTTACGGGTTGTGTAAATCTAAGCTTGTTCATCGACCGTAATGCAGTTTTCTACCATCATCTACCTTTTTGTCCTCACCAGGTGTCCTAGAACCCAGGATATCTCTAATCTACAAGAATCCTATTAGTATTGACTTGGTCAGGGACTTTGCTAAGGGTCATATGAAAAATAGACGGAATTGTCGCTAATGGGCATTTGTACCAACACGACAGAGCGGATAACAAAACCTTAGAATGGATTGTGATATAGAACTCTAGACCAGGAAATCCTGAAAACTAAACGTTCGAAACTAAGCTTTATGTAGAAAGAATCATTGATCAACCCAAATTCCCAACTGTTGCGACAAAAGTTGCAGTGGATATTTTGCGAGCACAGAAGGAATTCTTTCTATTTACCCCGTCCTTCTCCATTCTCCCACCAGCCTGGAGGGATACACTTTCTTTGTGTCCATATCGTAATCTAATTTTTTGTCATGTGGAGTTGCTTTCAAAATTTTCAACATTCTTGAATATTCTAGGGCAGTTTTTATAAAATTGGGTATCGAAACTCCACTATCTCGTTAACAATACAGAGCGAAGAATTATCGCTCCTAAGGAATCTAAAAAACGAGACTTCAACATTTCACTTCATCTGAGACAATCATGCTTCATTATTCTGATGTATACGTCTATTAGAACATGGTAGGCTGCCTAAAGAAGACTCGTGGGCGGAGGGAAGAATAATAATGAAGAGTAATGAATAGGCATGTGTGATCATAGATTCAAAGCCCGAATCTGGTTCAATGACAAACGAAATTGGTATCGAGAGAGTTGTCCCCAGAATGTAAAATATAAGGAGCTGTGGCCGCATACTGTGGATCATTTCTGGTGTAGATATCTGGTGGGGAGCTTCAATTGCAAACTCCAGCTGGAGTTCATCTGGCCAGAACGTTATGGAGTAGCACATGAAGTTCTCCAAAATAATGCGGGTCAAGTACTCGATCGAATGCTGCATACACATGAGCAGTTTGTCTTTATCGTTATCCATCGCCGTGTTCCAGACTCCTCCTCACATTTTCGAAGTTTAGGGTATATGAAGGGTATAATTAGGACAAATGTAATGCTATGCAAATACAAAGGTTCCTACCTGCTCACCCACTCCAGGTGAACAGTAAATTTAAGATAAATGCAATGTTTACATGTTGCAATTATACTAGGACACTCCTAGATGTTCATCAGAGAGCATAATCGAGACTGAGATTGCCAAATACAAGCACACAAATGTAAGATAGCAAAGCGCAAACAAATACATCTCAAACATTCGCAAAATGAAAACTCTTTCTATTCAAAATTAATACTGAGTCGTGTTCTGCACTAACAGCACGTGGATGCATTGGATGAAAATTCGTGAAATGAATGAAGGTTTTCTAAGGGGGAGACTACCGTTTGATATCAGATGAAAATGCTTGTATGTACTAGGTGCCTAGCTACATACGGAGTACAACGGCGGGAGAACAATCAAAGATAAAAATAGAAAAGGGAAAAATGTCACGTGATGATACCAAGTCTCCTAAATCTCCCAGTTGCTGCATAGCCACGCTTTAATCCATAATCCATAATCCATAATCCATACGATCCGTTACCATGGTACAGAGAAGTACCGCGCGCGTGGACTATCACCAACTAAATACTCACCATGACCAAGCCAACGCATGTACGATCGTTATCTGCAGAAGAAGGTACTCGGTGCTCGAGAAGGAAAGTGCCTCTCCGCACTGTACGATGGAATTCTGTACGTAGTCCGTAAATCCGCAATCCGTAATGCGTACACTGTACACTGCACACCGTCAACACAATCTATTACTAGTGTATGCGCAGCTATTCTTGCCAAATAATTATTCGCAGAAATCATGACGACCCCTTTGATACATGTTTTATAATTCGGTTCATGGACGAATTACAGACGGCAAAAGAGAGGTGTTCGTGGTTCCTGGCTAAGGAAATGGAACCTGCTTTTGAATCTGCCGTTTTCTTTTTTCATGCATAGGGATTGTCCAATCGAGACAATCTAATCTTGTGACACCCACTACGTCTGAAGAGCGGATAGTCGGAAAAAGATACAGTGTCGGCAAGGATAAAGAAGATGGGGATGTCCGTCGAATACGATGCATAAAAGCGCTTTGAAAAGCAATATAACGACAAAAGGAATTGATGCCGAGCATTGGAAAGAAAGAGTTTAGTACTTGACCTTTCTTTTTTTTCCAAACTCCATGGTGGTTCCTGGCTTGATGAAAGTACCGGCATGGACATGGGCATGGATGGGTTAAACGTTTGTTCATTCATGAACCCACTTTGGATTAGAAGAGAATGCGGCGGTGAGAGAGAGAAAGGATTGTGAATGTACGATTATCCTGCACTCGTATTAGCTTCAATGAATGAATGGCTCATACGGTGGTGCTACGCTCATATATATGCAGGTAGATTAGATTGATTATTGTTCATTGTGTCCGCACTCTCTCTGACTATGAAAGGAAATGAGTCTACGCAAAAATGCTCACAGGCACTAGACAGAGCATGCGATGGAAATCCTATCGCTATGGCGGCTTTGCTTTGATCTCTGAGGTATCTGAGGTATCTGAGGTATCTGAACAGAAATCTGTGGAATGAGTCTATGAATCAATGATGGTACTTGCGCCTCGCATCGTGGCCGTGCAGCTAGTTCCTAGGAAGATGATTTGATATACGATGTATGACTGACTACTGACTGACTGTAAGAATGAAGGTTGTGACTCGTGAGAAAGCCTCTGATTGTGATAGCAATGAACGTATGCAGGATTCCAGTTGACTAGATTGGACCCAATGTATAGATAGATAGATAGATACTAGACAAACAGAGGGGGATAAGTAGTACTCGACTATTTTGCTGAGAGATGATCTTGAAGGCATTACGACTTCTCGACGGATATCCTTACGAATGCAATCCACTTGCTGCGTAGGTGCAGACAGTATTGTAAGTATGAAAGATGATAAAAAGTCTTTCACTCATATCGTCTAATAACCTTATTGCAGGTAATATCTTGCTCCCATCCCCATCCCTACCCCCCGTGTTCATTATCAGGTAAATCCATAACCGCATTGAGCTATCTAATCGTAAAACTAGTTACTATCCAAGGACAAGTGGGTGTTTGTCTGATCCCGCGTCTAAAATCATCCAACCTTTTGAGTCGTAGAAGCTTTCGAAGAAGACGGAATAGTTTAGCCTAAGAGGAAAAGCCAAAGTTTGTAGATAGACAGTCTTATAGTCTTATAGTCTCATAGTCCCTACATTCCATAGACCAAACCTTGAAATCCTCGTACGCGACAACTTTCATGGCTGTTTCATCACTCCGCGCTTCTTCCCAGAACTTCCAATGATCTCGTCTTCTCCGTCTTCATCACAGGATACTTTCTTTACCTACCGCTTTTCGAATATCAATGTCTCTTGACAGTGGATCAGAACAAGGATTATAGATCAAGCAAGCAAGCAAGCAAGCAAGCATTTTCATTGTACTGCGACCGAAATCCGAAATACAAGGGGGTTTCAAACCTTTACTCACACGAATTCGCTGCGACAAGAGTGCGGAAAGACGGACAATCCTGGGATCTATCCTCACCTCTTTAATCTGCATGCTTCCCGAAAGAGTTATTACGAAGCACTGAGCAAACCCAGAACAGCATTTGGTGCCAATTTCATCCGCACGAACCACCCGCGCGATAGAACGGAAAGTGTTCGAAGTGCGAAGTATATTTATATATTTATTTAGGATTTGTGATAAAGATATTGACGGGTACCTGAAGGCTGTGCAGTGTAGTGTGTAGGGTGCACACGAGATAATCTATCAGAACCCTGGGTTTATTGGGCCCTGAAAAGAGGTCATCGGCGGATAACAGGGGGAAAATGGCAAGAAAAAATGGCCTGCAGCCGCTGACGCTGGAACCTGGGACAGGAGGAAGAGTTAATGTTAATGGTACGGAATTTATTAACATTCAGCAAAGTCCAAGATCTCCTTTGAGTGCCAAATCCCCAAGATCGCCGAGGTCGCCCTTCAAATTCAATACAAAGAAATCCCAATCACAACAGCAGGCTCGAAGTCAAGCTCAAGAACAAGAACAAGAACAACTTCAACTCCAACAACAGGAACACGAACAACTCCACCTGCACCTCCAAGAACAGGGGCAACATCAAAGAGACGAAGCGTCTTCTATGCAAGAAGTCGATCCGCAGACATCCGTAAAAGATCCATCAGTTCCAACTGGCAGTGGAAGTGGAATACCAACATCACAAACTCTTCCTTCTCTTTCTTCATTTCAATCTTCTGCCTCTCCACGGACTCCAGATAAGGTCGTCGGTATCAAGGAAAAACCTTCGCGAACGGGATTCTTTTCAAATTATAAAGCGTCCAAAAGCGCAAGTAAACTTCAATCATCTTCTTCATCAAATATATCACGCCAAGTGAATGTTGTCGAGGACAATAATATGTCCAGAGACACAGACCGCCCTGCGATGAGCGGAAAGGTTTCATCACAGGACACTAAAAGAAGTGGTACGACCCATTCTGTTTCGTCCCTTCCTCTTCAGACAATAATGTTGTTGGGTAATTAATCCATGCTAAGTGATTCACATAAACTAATCCTTTTCAAAATAGAATCAGGTCCTACTGGATCTTCATTAGTTAGAAAACCGGTCGGGGTTCAGTCAAGATCTGACGCCTCGCTGGCATCATCAACGAACGACTCCCCACAACAAAATTCCGATTCCAATTCAATCAATAATCGAAAGAATAAACCGAAGCAATTCAGTCTCCTCGGTAGAACTAGATCATTACGAGATGATAATAGCCCCGCTGAGCCCTCTCCGCCAAAAAATAATTATTTGGACCCTGATCTACCTACCCATCAATACACACACACAAGTCCTTCAAGCTCTGTCAAGACTACAACACCGGCTCGAAGCGGCGACGATAGAAATTGTAGGGAGATGTCGACTCCAACTAATCATCGACAACGATCGGAAGACCGTCAACATAGCCGCTCGAGAGAAAATCGTGGAAAGGATTCTATGAGAGAAAATACGAAGGAGCACACGAAGGATAATAGCAGAAATCAATCGTCCTTCTCTACAACATTCAAAGAGGCCGGCGGACATGCATTCTTCAACAATATCAAATCACAAGCCACAAAGGGAGCTGGTGCAATACACAAGAATTTATTCGGAAAGGGAGGACGGAGTGGTAGCTCTACACATAAGGAGCCCTCAGTCGATGATGAGCATTACGTTTTAAAGGTCATCAATAAGCCACTTGTCGAGCAAACTCGACTCACCAGAATATCAAAGAGGTTGGAGGATTCAAGGGACAAAACAGAGTTTTGGATGCCATCGTTCCCTTGGAGAGCGATTGACTATTTGAACTACAAGGGAAGTGATGTGGAGGGACTTTACAGAGTACCTGGAAGTGGACCGCAAGTTAAAAAGTGGCAGAGGAGATTCGACGAAGGTTTGCAGATTCTTTCTTGGATGATTCCTGAGAATATACTAACATGCCGCTAGAGCTTGATATCGACCTCTTCGAATGTGATGACCTCTACGATATAAATATCATCGGCTCGATGCTTAAAGCATGGCTTCGCGAACTCCCCGATGAACTGCTTCCCAGAGCTGCACAAGATCGAATTGCTAGAGAATGTGCGGGCTCTGACGAGGTTCCACAACAACTCGTCGACGAATTATCTAACCTTTCTCCCTTCAATTATTACCTCCTCTTCGCCATCACTTGCCATCTATCTCTACTCCTCGCCCACTCCGAAAAAAATAAGATGGACTTTAGGAATTTATGTATATGCTTTCAACCTTGTATGAAGATGGATGCATTCTGTTTCAAATTTCTTGTTTGCGATTGGAGAGATTGTTGGAAGGGTTGTAAGACTGAAGCAGTATACATTGAACAGGAGTATATGCTTTTTGATCAGATGCCACCCGGAAGTGCTGGTGGACGAAGTAGTACTGCTGTTGAGAGTCATGATGAAAGGAATGTTAGCAGTTCTGACAGCAGCAAGCCATCGAGTGTCAGCCTCGAGAATCAGGGTCGAAAACATAGCCATGAGAAGGGTCGAAAAGCCAGCGGCGAAAAAAATCAACGCAGAAGCCCGGATAGCGAGAGAAGTCAAAGACAGATTCAAGTGGAGAATCACAGGGAGGGGGCCATGAGTCAAAGCAATAGCATGAACAGTATCGATACTGTCAGTACAACTTTGACTGTTATACAGGCGACGCCGCCTCGAAATGGGGATATGAGGCCATTGAGTCCTATCAAACCACTCTCTCCCATTGGCTTCTGAGTTTCTTCTGCTCAAAATTACAAAACTAAAGAATTTAACAAACGGGCTTTTGAAAAGTCACACCAAAAGGTCGCATATCATCATAATTCTACCTCTACATATTAGGGCGATGCAAGTTTCTCACAAACTCGTACGAACTAAACATACAGCGACAAAATTACATTTTCCTCGGTCGATTTTTTCATTGCTTACGAACTTTGGTAAATGGAATGGACTGAACGCATTCGACGAATTTCCTTCAGTGTCACGCACAAAATACCGATGAGATCTATTCTACACACATTTCTTGACGTTCGTTTTGTTCGTTCATGCAACACAAGTATTTCCTTTTTTCCCATTCAATTGAATGGAATGGTTTCTTTACAAAATCTTCATGCGTGCTTGTTTTGTTGAATACCCCCAGCGCAGCATGTTTGAATCTTGACGGCACAAAGCATATTAGCACAGAAGGCGGGTTTAATAATGGATGGATGGATGGGGTATGGGATTTGGAAATGGATTGGTGGTATATGGAGTGGATTGTTACTTTGATTTTTTGAGGGATTATAAGCGTGGGGCGTGATGGAGATGGACGGATGGATGGATGGAGGCTGGAAACGAATTGTTAACAAGTTTCGAGATGAATCAGGAGGCGCGAATTGCTTCAGGACCTCGAGACTGGCTTGCTATCAGGCACATGGGAGACGAGGATGAGAGAGAGGAAAGCAGGACTTGTTTGTACGATAGGGGAATATTTTATGTTTGGAGCAACGGAGTCCAGAGACCATAGATTACCTAGCTAGGGCCAACGAGTGCATTGGGGGACAGTGTGAAGAGCATCAGAGATCATGCGCATGGACTTGAAAGTAATGCCATGTACCATTTTGACTTTCAGTCTTCTTACTTTAATATTATCGATGTGATGTAAACTGATATAATTAATGTTTAACACTCAAGAATGCTTTGAGACCGGTAGTGGACCGAGGGTAGATGTGGGAGAGGAGGAACCAATGCTCTATTCGTATTTTTCTTGTGCTATTCATTGCGGCTCATGCCATTTATGTCTTCTCGCATGAATTTGAATTGTTCAATACCATTGCGATATACTATTATAACTCTTGAATTTCTCAATTGGGTGCTCTTGTGATCTAATGACTTCCGACGTAAGGTGTAACACTTTTTCCTTTCCACAAGCAATGACTGCCCTAATAACGCCAATGATAATCCATTCCAACGCCATACAATGAAGTCCACCCACCATGAAATCATCCAACTTTTCTCGCACTTCTCCTCATCGCTTGTGAGCTGACACTCAAACCCCAGCCATTTAATCTCTCTTTCCTCCGTGATTCTTTCTATCGTTCCTCTCGTTTTTCCTTTGCATTCTCTCATTCCTCCTAACCTTTTCTTTTCTTTCCCGTCTTCCATCATTTTGTCTTTCGGTTCCCTCCTTTCTCTCGCGCTCCTTATTCTCATTAACCTCCACAATCCAGTCATCTTCTCCCTTCTTGTTGATTCCCTTGTATCCCCATTTGGGAACCCATTCGCCGGTAGATTCATCATATACAAGCTTCTTCTTGGCCTCAGCAGTCTTGGGTTTGATGCCTTTTTTAGCTGCGAATTTTTGCCAGGTGGTTTGGGCGACTGGAGGAGGAAGAGGCTGGAAATGTGTTAGTGTACATTAACTATTAATTGAGTCTCCGAATTGGAATGTCCAAATCGCGAGAAATCAAAGAGGAAGAAAAAATTGAAATCGCATAATTACCTTTTCACGAGGCAACTTTGTAGCAATCCCGGGTAAACTCAATAATACACCATTGGGCGTCGATGCAATGGGACAGGTGCTCAATAATTGGTTCAATAATGCTTGCGCACCATCTCTGGCGGTTGCAGCTAGATCATCTTCGAGATTTGCGGAGGTGGTGAGGAGAAGCGGGTTGGGGTCTTCGGCGAGGAGGAGGCCGAGATCGAATGTGTAGGGAGTGGGTTTGTTCACTGTGATGGGGAGTTTGGATGGCTTCTGGGGGGCGTCTTCGGACATGTTGGATGTGAGGTTGATAAATTAATTGAATGGGTGAAGATTGGATTTATTTTTCGTACAAGAGGAGAAATAGAGATTGAGATATTGTAGAGGAAATAAAATAAATTTTGGACGACTGCTTTTGCGGGAGGATCCTTGTGCGGCCGCAATTTAGCGCGGGATGTGTTTGATCCTAGTCGAGAAAGATTTCTGGAGCGAGAGAGAGGGACGACACGTCGAGAGGAATTGGACCCTTTCAAACTCACTGCAGCAATCGCAGATATGGCATCCTCGGGATGTTGGAAATGCCTCTCGAGGCCGAATCCCTCGCAAATACTCCAGGGCAATCATGCGGCATTGCGACTTCCCACAATTGCAGCCACGGCGGGATTCTCAACAAGTGCGGCTATGTCCAAGAATCCGCTGGCTGCTAAGCCAAAGGGAGCGTTTGGACAAAACATGGCGAGGGGTGGAAAGACTTTGAAGATCAAGAAGAAGCCGCCACCTGTACGGTCTGGAAAACCTCCCGCAGAGGGAGAGAGAAAGGCGTTGAGGAAGAGAATCGTACTCAGTAATACGAATGCTCTGGAAGTAGAACTGGAAGATTTAGGAATCAGCAATGTTACGAGTGAGGGATTGGCAGGAAGGGTAGTCGGATTGAGTGGGAGCACGGTGGATAGCCTAAGAGCGAGTGAAGCGTTCAAGATTACGCAAGGATGGAATTTATTTAGGAGGCCAGCGGTCTTGGTTCGGGAGGAAGGTGTTATTTGTGCGAAGGTTTTAGAGGAAGCGGGAGCAGAGAAAAAGACGGAGCGATTGGTGGTTGATGGAGGAAGGGTATCAGGGAAGAGTTTGATGCTTTTACATGCTATGGCTTCGGCTTTTGTCAAGGGCTGGATTGTCTTGAATATTGCGGATAGTATGTTATTTGTTCTTCATGGATTGCAGTATGCTAATAAGATTTATAGCCCAAGAACTTGTCAATGCCTGCACTGAATATTCTCCTGTGCCCGATACCACGCCCACTCTCTTTTCCCAAAACACATATACCGCGGCATGGCTAGGACGTATTGGCAAAGCCAACGAAGCAGTTCTTGACAGGCTTCAATTGTCACAAAAACATAGTCTTCCAATTCCTCTCCAAGAAAACTTATCCCTCCTCAGACTTTGCGAACTTGGAGCTCAGGAACCAGATTACTCTTGGCCAATATTCCAAGCATTCTGGAAAGAAATTACAGCTGCGGACCGACCTCCAGTTCTCATGACATTAGACGGTCTTCAATGGATCATGCAAAACAGTCTTTACCGAAACGCTGCATTCGAATTGATCCACGCCCATGATTTGGCTGTTGTAAACCATTTTGTGCAATATCTCTCTGGAGAGAAGTCCCTACCAAATGGAGGTGCAGTAATTGCAGCTACATCACGTAGTCACGCGCCTGTATCGAGATCCACAGATCTAGCTATCGTGCAGCAACTCAACCGACAATCGGAGGAAGAAATCACGGAACGTGATCCATACGAAAAGAAGTACGATGAGAGAGCCGATAAAGCATTGCAGAAGGTACAGGTCATGTGGTTAAATGGATTGAGTAAGCGAGAAGCGAGAAGCTTGATGGAATATTGGGCGCAGAGTGGAGTGTTGAGACAGAGAGTTGATGAGAAGACTGTGACGGAGAAATGGGCGCTGGCTGGAAATGGAATGGTCGGTGAGTTGGAGAAGGGCGCGCTGAGGATGAGAATTTAGATGTTTATTTATTGGGCATGAATGAATAAAGTTTTAAATATGTATTATGTGTACAGTTATGAGGCTTGGTCGTATGGCTTATGTGAATAGATCTGAGATGGTTCAATTTTGTACTTGTACAGTGGAATAGTATAGTTGTTGCTCTAGACGCGGCATTTAAGTTGCGATTTGTTTTAGCAGTTTTTTTATGTCGATTCTTTGCGTGTAGGCAAGGCTAGCTCCGACGCAGTTATGCAAGTAGAACTGATTCAAGGGAAGAACCATGGGGCCTTTACGTATGCAGATATCAAAGATGTATACATATATCTAATCTAATCTAGATCCTCACACTCTTACAAACATCTTCACATCATATCACTTGATCTGCCAGCACTCATGTGGTGTTGATACACTTTCTTCTTTACGAGCCGATATACATAGTAAGGTTGATTTTACCGAAGTCACTGGTGGGTGCTTGATAGTCATTCATTTTTTTGGTCGTTGGTTGGTGAGTTGTGGGTTGTGGATGGGAGTACTCCTATGCTAGTGAGTTTTCCTGTTGCTGAAGATGGCGGGATGAATTCTTGGGGTTGGATAGACTTGAGGGGTTGTTTGGGGTTTGAGAATCAATCTTTGGGCCTTGTAGTCAATACTGTAAATGTCTGTGGTATTTACTCAAAAGTAGGAGTGAGTATTAGGATAAATACCTTCGTCTGCAAAACATTTCCCACAGACTTTAGACTCACGGTAGCTTTTTATTATTGTTCCTCATTGAATTTCCACTACGCACCACTATATTGATCGTAGGAGACCAAAATTCAATGATGCGTATATTCTATGCCAGTATACTGGTCCCGTAACAGGATTTATCTTGCGTCATCTCACTCTCCCCAATCTCAAAGCCACAAATATTTCACCCAGACAACCTAACCACATCTGTCAGACTAGCCTCCGTGATTTCTATTCTTTATCCTAGCAGTGCGAAAGTTTTTCATCGTGTCCATCTCGATTTTCAGAATTCGATTCATATGCATATCCACGAACTTGGTGTGTGTGTGTTTTGACGCCACCGTAGCACTATACGCGGATAGTTGAACCCAGTTTCATCTAATATTCATAGTTACGGTCATTTAAAAAACGCGAAGAGGAGATGCCGTCTAGCCAATAACCAATAACCAGAAGGATAAGGATCTGCATATCCATGGATTGAGTGGAGTGCCAAACCAAACATTTTGATTAGGGATTGCAGAGGCAGCTTCGTTGCGCACTAGTCCTACATCATATAGAATTCGCCCACTATCGTCTGTCCCAGAACTAGATTATTGAGTTAGGGATTCACGAACGTAATGCGTGTGCAGGTTATGAATCAAGGCTTTTTTCTCGCTAGGTGAACAGCCTAGCAAAACTATCCTCGCGAAATCGATCTATATAATAGGGGATTTACACATGTGCACGCGTATTGAGGATAGAGTTAGGATTCCAGGCCTAGAAAATCATGACACCTACTGAATGGATTGAGCTGTAAGCGATATAGACAGCCCTTCCCCGCGACTTGATTTATTTTTTGGCTGACCTATTTGAATATCTTTCAATTCATCATTCCGACACTTTAAAGGAGGCGATACTGCCTATTCTTCATGTTGAGGTTTCTGGGTGATGAGCTATGCCGTGGGATGAGTCTGCAGTTTTTACGCTGAATGAAATTGATATTCCGAAATCGGGACGGGTGAATCGGGGGTTAAATGCTGGGAAGTCAAAAGTGATGGAAGACCGCTTGGATGGAAAATTTCCTTATTCCAAGGGTTGAAATAGGCGGTTGAGTTCTTCCCAACGACAGCTCGATTCGACGCAAGTGGTAACTCGTTGAGCGACAGGTTTGATGAAGGAGCTCGGGAGTAATGATATCAAGGCTGTGTGGAAAGCAGCGTGTCTGGGTAGCTAAGTTTGCATTACGATCTGGATGAGTGATGTGAAGGGTTGGACATGAGCTTCATGACGAATATCTAAAGCATCTTGCATATCACATCACTACAATCTCCTATCACAGGCTACAAAATTATCTCATAAAGCAACCTCCAATCATACCAAGACTCAACGAAGCGAGGCTGGTTAGTGTAGTTTCGTATACTGCTCGAACACAAGCGGATGTGGTGTCTATTCACAAATAGGACCATCTTGTCATCAAAGTGATCTTTCAACAATTAAAATAAGCCATTGAATGCTAGCTTAAATCTCCAAAAATCCTCATTTGACAGATATGCCGACTTCATCCAAATTCGTAATGCCGAATTTATATTTTAACCAGAGTACGAACATGAGATGGTAACAAGACTGGATAGAAACAAAGCCTTCTATCCGCGGATCCGTGGCGGGCTCCATCTCAGCTTCTTCTTGGGAGTATGATGAAGGCTCACATGCACAGATGTGGCTCGTTTGCGCAGCTGCCAAGGAAATTAGAGAGACGAGTATGGCTCTTCAACTCTCGTGTGCAGATTCCAGTGTATTTGAAAGACGGTTAATGTGACATTTTCAATGAGGAGATGAACAATAAGGTATGAGGAAGCTATTCCCTCGATCTTCATACAAGGAAGCCAGAGAGCTACTAGGCTCGGCAATTCTTGGCATAGTCAGCGAGACACGAAAAGCCTCGTGAGGAACATCTTGGTAGAGACCAAAACTCCTAGAGAAGGAACTCGATGTGTGGCCGAATATCCAACGTAGTATTCAACTATCAAGTGACTGACAACTTTTGCGTTATGGCTGGGCAAAACATACCTGCTACACACCTCAAGCATCAGCATCCCACACACCACTCATTCAATCCCAGAATATAACAGCTTTAACTCTCCAGCCCTTACAATTTGCCCAACTCTGGTTCAACTCAAACTCCAAGAGTAAGATAATCAAATAATATCATTGCATGCAACCCAAGCTATGCCATGCGTCTTGGCATTACCCAGCATATTAATACAGGCTGAAAAATGTGCCGGATTATCCGTCTTATGCGCGACTGTTTGGTTCACAGGAAGGGGCTAAAAAAATGTTATCCGAACCCCCGCTACGAAAGCGATAGAGATTTGATGTACTGTGGCTGCGTCAATCGACTATTCTCGGAGGATGTGAAGGGTGGGAGAGTACTGATGAGAGGGAAATGTAATTGTCGTGAATTTAGTTCGATAGGGGCTAATCAGATTGTCAAGCTAATGTCAACGATAATAAACTCATGATTTGGAATTGCATAGAAGCCATAACGTTTTTTAATATCGCGTCATAATTGGTGTTTGATAGGCCATAGTCGAGACGGTTTGATATTGTGAAGCACTTGCAATGTGTGGAAGACAGAAGGATGTGTTGCCAACGTATCACCCGGCCTGCGGGAACAATGCCTAGCAATGAAAGCAGATAAAACTTGGTGACATGAGATGTAAGATTGGATATTCAAGGCGCGTAGAATCACATAGAACGAGCCAAGATTAATTGGTACACGAAGACATAAGGAAGATTTTCAATCATGCAGTCAATGTTGTGTAATGCACCAAAACGGATATTTGTAACACTTGAAAGGATATTCTCATTCTTTAGACTGCACTAGCTAAAGCATATAACATTTAAACTAATAATATATTAGCAAAAGTATCTCAAGGCTCCAATGACTAGAGGATACATACCATAAACAAATTGTCCGTTGTGATTCTCAATACGCTCAGCAAGGTTGACATCACGGCTGAACTCTTCGCCATCTCTGCTGCGGAGGAAAGTGCGGAGGACTGGGACTTCTCCACCACCCTCAATGGAGAATGTGACGTTCTCAGCGCTGTGAGAGAAGTCTATATGAAGCATTAGACGATGATAGTTAAGGAACAAAGATGATTTCTTTTCAAAGATTGCACGTACTGACGCCATCCCAGTGAATCATGCCATCTTCGTTTCCGATGTGTTGGTTGAGATCAATCTCAGCATCTTGCCAGTCACCATTCTCGTTTCTGAGACGGGCTCTGAGGATGTGGTTGTCATCGATGCGGATATCTTCGGCGGAGAGGTGGAAAGACATTTTGAGTTATATAGAAGAGGGTTTAGTTTTGTTTTGTGTAGAGTATATTTGAATAGTGATTGAGAGTTAAGAGATATAGAATGAGAAGTGAACGGGAGGAGAGGAGCAGATATATGTGTCTTTTGTAGTCCGATCTTCGACTATGGTAACGCCTCAGGGTCTACCCCTCCGTGCATGTCTGCGGCAATGCAAAACCATCATCAGCCACTCATCGACGCATTTATGGAAACCCCCGCTGATATGCTAAGTGAATTTCACACATAAGGTGGCATTTCAATGGCTTGGCACCTCCTTGGCTCACACGTTTTCTACAAACATTGGATCAGAAGCTTCACCGTATGTGGCATGACCCGCTATGACCCACTTGATGTGGGGTAGGGTTTCGAAATGTCACCACTGCGGCGGATTTGGTGGCTATGAGTGATATGCATTACAAAATTCTAAGTCAGAATGATGGAATACGATGCCACACTAGCTTGTAGCTACCCTGGTCACAAAGCGGTGGTACCTGGATAGCCAACCCAGTTTCGAAGAAGATTAAGAAGGACTTAGTGAGATCATGGAAGCTCTCAGAAACTGTTAGCGTAAACGACTGACTGAACAAAGATATATCCTCAAGAATCAAGTAGTGTCACATCACTCAGGGGTAATTTTAACGCATGTGTGTATGCACCTGTAGCAGAAAGAGCGCAAAGATAGCTTATGTTATCGATCCTTCAAGGAAGTGGCACAGTCAAGCCACGTAATTCCTCGATGGATGGTCTAGTGCAATGTGCCGAGTGTGCTTCACACTCCGTGAAGAATGCTCACTTGAGCTATCACTCTGGGTCAGTAGCAATCTCAAACCATTTCAGTGATAATTGCTCCAGAGTACATAGTAACAACCCGCAGTTTAAAGTTCACAAAAAAAGCGCATCATTACTGAGTTACCTCCTCATCTGTTTCAACAAAACTTGTACCTTAACATAGATATGTGCTAATCGCTGGTAGGATACCACAACTGTGTTCAATACCCCACTTCACCCCACCAGTGTATATTAATCATGTCGGAGAGGGGCATATGAGGTATACGATGTACGGAGATGTACTTTGGCGACGCTGAATGATTCGATGAAGTCGGTGAGGTCGGTGAGAAAAAGGGGTCGAATCTATAGCCGTCGACTCATTTCGATGCATTCTAGAATCGTTTGAGCATCGAATCGAGCGTCGGATCAAGCAGACAGGTATTAGTACCGTGGTTGAACGCAGCATGGCTTTTGAATATCCAGTGGCCGAATGATCGTTGATCGAAAGAATGTAACCTTACAAAAACAGCGTGCACAGAACGGCAGATGTTAAGTCCAGGTCTTTGGTGTTTTCTTCGAGTAGGGCTGTGGACGAAGGTTTCACTAAGTCAATCCGCTGACTAAGCAAGCAACACTTTCATTTTTCCTCAAACGTCACTTATTATATCGCTCACAGCGCATTGATGGGACCGGCGGTCAATCAAGAATCCAGTGTATCACCCTAAATCTGCAGCATATTGCGAGAGGTTATTTTTCATCCTTTTGTGAAAGTGGAAACGATGGTGTTCATGATGAGCTTCAAAACTATTTACGAACAGCTTCTCAATTCCGTCATTCGCGACGGTGGACGAGAGCGGCAACGGAAATGTCAAAGTCTCTGCTTGAACGTAAGTCAAACAGGTTGCTCTATTATTGAGCGGTCATAATCAGGCGGTATATGCCCCCAGTTGTGGCACCGGTGTATTCAACAATCAGGCTGCAGTCCACAGCGAGAGAATTGTGAATAATGAAGCCCTTTTGGATGTTGAATTTCTCTGGTCACTGGTTCTTATTAGAACCATCAGAACCATGACAATATCAGAGTGATTGATATACATCAAAGATTCAAGCTTAGGACATCGAATTCGAACATCAGTCTAAGCTACTGGACATGTTGAGAAGCGTATGCTACGTCAAAACTCGACATCGGTGAGAGCATTCGCCCGGAGAGAAGTCCTTTGCACCTGCGCTGTGTTGGAAGACTTCCAAATGTTTCTCTGTTACCCAATCGTTATTTCCCCTAAAAAGGTGTGCTGATTGTATGGAAATACACAAAGTAACAACAATGAAGCTAAATAACACGAATCTCCTGGTGGGCGGTGAGATCGTGAATGTTTTCATAGGATCTACACGATCTAAAAGACAGAATTGGAGTTCAAGATGGAAATCCTAGTTGGAACTACGGGTCAAATGCAGGTCTTCAGAGGGCCAAGTGAAGCCACTGGGGAGATCAGAGAACACATCGTCAAGTTACGAATTTGTGATTTGCTTTAACAAATTACACGCCGTTATCCCACGGATCTGATAGAGATAGTGATTATGAATCTGGAGGTCTTTACCAAGAACCATTTGGCTCAATGATGAGAAACTAGAAGCATTGCCTATGCATGTCCTGGGCCCTATCAAATACTGTCGTCTTCTTTCGTATTTTACGAAGGTAGTATGCTGTTGGTAAAGATCATAAGCTTCAAAGTATCACCCGGTACTAGATTAACATGATATTAATCTTGATCGTCAGTGTTTAGAATTGCATTACTCATAATGCCATCGTGTCTGGACTCGAAGAAAGTTGAACTGTGTAATGGGTAAAATTGGGTGAAGTAAGGCTAGATACCATCCGACGTAATATTATCTCAGTCCAAAATGGCCGGAAATTGTCGTGATAATACAAAAGTGATCAGACGGTATCTTGTCTACACTGGAATAACGCAAATTCATACTCATTATTCCGCACACCTAAAATTGTACTAAAGTAATCTGGTACCAAAATCCGGATTATATGCACGTGATGAGACGACGTACCAAGGCCTTGAGTTCCTTCCTCATTTTGAGATTCGGATGGGAAGCTTAGCGGCGCTGGATTCCCCGTCTTTGATTCGCTCCAATGACTTTCCTTCTCTAAATTATCCAATTTCTGCAATCATTCACCGAAAGGGCATCGGGGAAATTTATTTCACACTTCGTGCCCTCTGTTTACCTATCTCTTCCGCTTGATTCTTCTATCTACAAACTGCGATTACCTCGATATCCTGTTCAGTTCCTTTCATCTCTCGAGGTGAGTTCTTCACATATCCTCCTCATAACGTTTCTTTGGAAAGGAAGCCCTTAATTCCTCCAAATTCACTTCACTGTTCGAAGCGAAAGTCCCCTCGATGCCGCCTTAATTAAATCTTTTCGAAAGCTGCTTTGGTTGTTTCAACAATCAGATCGCAAAATTTTATATATATAAACTCCCTAGTTCAGTATACTGACTCTTTATTAAAAGTGAACCTCTCGAGTGCCTCCAAGATATTCCATGGCCTCTTGAGAATCCGCCGCAGCTTCTTTGTTGACAACCATCTTTACATGCCTGCCAATTTGGCATAATCAGAACACTAAAACCAGATATACATCCACAAAGGTTTGTGTTTCTTCAACTTTCCATGTTACTACTCTTATCAGGCTGCGACTGCCGGCCATTTTTCCACAATACGCGAATGAATCCCGTAGTTTATCAACGGAGCGTGCGCATCCGGATAGCCTTTTCTTAACGCTTTACTCACATTGTGGAGGGACTTGGGCGCGAATAAATGTGCCTGCCGTTTGAAGTTAATGCTAATCGTTTCCAAGATGCCTCCAAGTTGCGGACTGAAAGAAGCCTCACAAGGCTCGGCACTTGAGAAGGGCGTTGAAAAGCTGTGTCAGGAACTCGACAGAAGTGTCGAGGCAGAGGGCAGGGAAGGGTGAGATAGGTTTGTAGGATCGATACATTTATAGCATGCTAACAACTAACAGAATCGCTGAAGGCACTCTGGAATCAATCTACGATGCTCTGCACACGGCGAAAGCAATGGAAGCCATAGCCGAGACAGCCGTGAGAAGTCTTCTTTCAATATTGGAGAATGATCGCGGCGAGTTGTGTTGTCCTTTCGATGTAAAAGTTTTCTGTGTTATTCTTGAAATTGCACTTAGAAGCGAGGAGTGTCGAGGAAGTGAGCGTATTCTCGTTTTGCTTGCCGTGAGTATCTGACACAAAGGCTGCGATTTTCTGGACACTGACTGAGTTTTACAGAAGGAACTTCACACGCAATCAATACCTCAGGAAACTGAGAGCCCCCACGGGATTTTGGTCGAGATCGCAAAGCAAATGAACGCTGCTCGCCTTATTGAATACTTTGTCGATCGTTCGAAGCCAGACGGAATGAGAAGATGGGTAAGCTCCCATATGCTGAAATATTTTGAGGATACGCTAACACAAAAATAAGGTTGGTATCATCATGCAACAGCTTTTGAGAGGCCCAGAGGCAGTTTCTGAGCAATTTCAGCATACACCCGAGGATGTCAGGTGAGAAACCCCCCATATTATCATACCCAATTTGCTAATACGTTGCTGGAAAGACGCAGCATTGGTCCCATGATTATCAGTGAAGATAATGAAATCCTCAGATTGATTTGTGGACGGGTTTTTGCGCTACTACTAAACGCTGATGTTCTGCCTGAAGAACTCTGCCCCGTAAAAACCAATAAAATGGAATACGAGGATTTCCCAGTTGATTTGCAGAACTTAAATGAATGGAAATCGCAATTCCAGCAGTGGGTAGACCGGAAGTGGCCCGATAACGAAAGTCAAACGTAAGTACATTAAAGACTGCCGATTTTCTGCCAGCTGATGACTTTTCAGACCGCCGCATATGCTTTATTATAGTCTTAGTGTTGTGACTATACCACCATTTCGATTGGGAACATTAGGTGAGAGTATAGAACTGGTTCTAGAAGACGGCTATATTCTTCTGCTGAAGAGCTCTACGGAACAAGAATTGGATCAAATACTACAAGTGCCATGTAACTCTATCTCCCGAGTTTCTGTCATTGACAACTCTATCATAATCAACGAAAGAGAAGTTTACGATATCGTTTTTGACATCAAGAATGACCAAGAGCGTTCTTCTTATCTAAATTCTCGACCTACCATTCTTCAACAACTACGTTTGACCACCGATTCAAATAGGAACGAATTAATGATCGATCTTCACGATGAATGTCCAGAAGCAGAGTTCCAACCGGAGAGGGTTCAAGTATCTCAAGCTGAAGATGATATACTAGTGCAAGGAAAGGGGAGTTCACCAGATGCCGGGAGTTACGAGCGCCCCTTTGAAGACGAGCATCAACCAGCAACAAGTGATCCAATAACGTCCGAGTCTGGGGACGGAGCACTAGATACCTTGGATAGCCCCGACCGCCAGATTCAAGTCGAAAATTCTACACATCAAGCAGATGATAATACATCTTCGAACGTGATTGACAAATTGAAACACTCTCAACAAAAGTCAGGCAGAATTTATGCAGCGAATAAAGTCAATTTACCTAAGCATGGTGATGTTGCGAGCTTCAGCGATTCACCTACAATGCCTACTCGTCAAAAAAATCTTACATCATTCGACGAAGTTGTAGGAATAGACGACAGAAGCTCTGAAATGAGTGGTCGGGCACTTCTTGTGAGGCAGGAAGGCACATCTCGCTCCCAAATTTCTCAACTTCTACCGCTCACCGAAAGTCCACCCCGAGATATTGCAGCCAATGTCACCCTTACTGTCAAGACTAAAGGTAAAGTGTCAGCAAGTCTAAAAATAGGGAGAGAATTACTCATACCAGAAGCACAACCAAGTACTTCTCAAGCACTACCAAGCCAAAACACCAGTTCGAAAGCTAATAAAGTGCCAAAGAAGTATGCTGTTAAACCCAAGACACCAATCGCGGGCGTGAAGAGCGTTAAAGTGAATACTCCTCTGCAAAATGTACCAGAGACAGCAATTTCGGCTTCTGCAAACAAAAAGAGATTCGAGGAAGGATCGGCTCGAGTCCAGACAAATATTTATGATCTGCCTGAGATCAACGAAGATGACGGAGAAGAATCCAAGAAAGAAAGCCAAACTAACCAGGGGACAAGAAAAAGGCCTGGCAGTTCAAAACAAAAGGGCAAACCAAGTAGCAAATGTAGGGGAAAGAACACAAAGACCTACCAAAAAGCCAAGACTGCCCCAACGGCAGTCGAGGAACCTGTTGTCGCGAAGCGTAGCAGCCAAAGAGCGGCTGCGAGTCAAGCCAAACTTAGCATGAGCAAAATCAATGACGACTTGGAGGAAATTGAAGATGATTTTTCCGATGGGAGAGACAGTGAACTAGCGCAGCCCAATGTCTCGCAAAAGCGTAAAACGGCGGAGCAGCCAGCTGAGCCAGCTTTATCGGAGATCAAGTTTGCTTCAGTGATAGAGTCGGCTACCGAGGAAGATAAGGAAGCATTGGTTCTTCAGCAGCAAGATGCTCAGGTACTGAGTCTAGTTGATAATAGTCTTCCTCCTGGAGACCTATTCGAAGTTGATGATTTGTACTCTGCTAGTCCGGCGAGACAAAAAGATCAACAAGGTTACAGCCAAGAAACCCCCACGAAACCTTCCCGAAAGACGGCAGCCGTGAATTTCGCCAGCCAACTGGATGATCTCCTGAGCGATGATACTAAGGGTGATAACCAGACCTCTCACATCAAAAGTCTGAACAAGAGTCTCTTCAAGAGAACTTTGTCTCCAATTACACCACCGGAAAAGTCGAGAAACCTTGAGCATAGTGTATCAGAAAGTAGACCGAGTATCATAAACAAAGACTTGCCAGAAACTGTGGTCGAGGATGCCAAATATTATAATAATCGCGAAGGCCGAGATGGAAATTCAGAGGAGCTACAATTACAGGATGGAAATTTAAGCCAGCCAGCTCAAAGAGTTGAAGAATTGGTACGCGCATGTCCACGCGAGACCGAAGTCAAGAAAAGTCAAATGATTGAAAGGACAGAGGGTCCCGAAGAAATGACAAACACTAAGCTTCCTAATAGAGTAGGCGAAAAGATTTTCACGAACATGGACGAATATGTACTCACCGCAGATACAATAAATCCAGTACCTGCCATTTCAAGTCACCCCTCAAACATATCTTCGATTAACTCCAAGCAGGAGGTGATTCACGAACCAGTTGCTACAAAGGCTTCAGCTTGCACTGACCATCAATCAGAAGGTCGGCTAACTCTACAATTGCCAGACGTAGATTCGGTCGAGGAAAAAAAGCGAAAGGTTGTAACAGAGATTGCTATGCCACCCAAGCGCCGTAGACAAATTGCGACAAACAACTCAGGAAGCTCTTCGATCTCATCATCTGGTCCTCGCGCACAAGGAAATGCATCTCCAGAAAGGTTGGGTAGCAAAAATAGAGTTCTACTTGATGACCGAAGTATTCGCAAGCCAAACTTCATACACTTTAATGCTAAAGGGGCACAGAATCAGGGTCCTTCTCATACATCCATACCTGTTCCAAAACGAGACCCTAAGCTACACATCAAAACATCGAATAGTGAGAAAGTCAAGTCGCAAGACATGATAAAGAGTAAACGAAGACATGATGATCATCACAACTCAGACGAAGAAAGTTTGTTTGTTTCTCAAAGTCCACCCAGAAAGCGACAGAGTGTTAGTCCGCCGAACATAGCTTTGACAACAGATACGACGGTCTTAATAGATGATAAAAATAGTCCCATGATTCCCGCAGCTCTTAAACCAAGCTCACAAGGATCTCGAGTGGATGCATTCGGTAGCCCACAAGCACAGCACATTGTATCTTCCATTGGTCATGCTCTCCGAGTCAAGCTAAGAGAGTCAGCACCAGAGTTCGGTAAGGCAGGGTCACGAACTATGGACTCTCACCAAGATCTACCTGAAATCCAAGTTCTGTCTCCTGAATTGGACGTCCAGGATAGTTCAGAGCTTTTTGGTCCGCGCATCAAGGTAGTAAGCATCCCAAAAGCACGTCCTGCTCCACCAGGAGAGTCTTCTGTTCGGTACGTCCCGCATACAAAAACTCAGAACGGCTCTTATAAAGACATTTCAACCATGGAGAATATACAAGAGGTAAAAGTTCTGCCGGATCCGTTTGTTGATGTCACCCATCACAAATCAAGTGGGTTTACAGAACGATTACGGGCACGTGAGGCTGAAGAAGGCTTGAATGTTCGTTTCAACGATCCTGACAAAACTCTAGTGGAGATTACACAGCAAAGCTATAGTAGAGAGTTCTCGTCACCCAGTGAATTTTCGAGTAATTCATCTTTCCGATCGCCTGGTTCCTCTAGCATTCCAAGACAAGAATTATCTCCCCACAGTCAATGGTCAAAGGCTGTCAGACCACATTACAAGGGATATGCAGATACTGTTCATAAAATTGCCGATGTAAGTCTGACTGACTATACGGCTCAAGATTAATGACTGGAATAACTGACACTAAGATCTAGGAGATGGTGATTAGATTGACTAATGAAGAAGATGCATCAGAGCTTGTCGTTCGTCAATACAAGGAGAACGCTACGAGTATGCTCGAGGATCTGAGTAGCAAGCGAGATGTGGAAAAGCTCAATATACGCCAACAAATCGAGAACAAGAAGACAGAATTGATTCGAATGTATTCTGAAGCTGGGAATGCCGTGAAGCAAATCGAAAAGGATATAAAAACTTCTCCCATAGATGGTGTTGATGGAAAATGGCAGGAGAGACAAGAGCTCATACAAAGAGAATTGAAGGGAGGGAGACGCACATCAGATTCATAACCCAGTGAATCATTGCTTGATTTGCTTTCTCATTTCATATTTGAGAACGATGGGGAGTGGTGCGTAGATTTCAAATCAGGATTTCGAGAGCTTTTCATCTTGTTTGTCTACCTACCTACCTAATGGGACTGAGCTGTGGGGGCCGAAAAGATTGAAGGATACCACATAATTGTTAAGAGACCTCAGTACCAGCTTTGAATGATTTAAATAATTGCTATGATAATAATGAATATGATTGAGACGTCGATAATCTGATGTGATCTATCGGTAGTACTCTTGTGCTAGGGCATGTACACGTATTTGCAAACAATTATCCAAGTACTAGGTAGTGTTCCGGCCAACCTAAGAAAAAATGACCATGTCGATACATCTTGAAAAGGAACACTAACAAGGGATGACGATTGCTCATACCCCCCACAACCGCAGCAGCCCAGATTCCAGAACATTATACTCAATCAATACTTACAATACTTACGACGACAATCCGAAAATTTTCCAAGTCGTGAGGTTCATTAGAAATCGTCGACTTCAGCTCTCACCACTGTTAATTTTTTTCCATTGTTTATTTCAATACTTTGCTAGCGGTATATCTATCTATCCTCGAATAGTCCGATTTCCCCGCGTTCCGAAGACCCAAAAAGTCTCTTCGTCCTACAACAAAGGGCAACCATACGGCCACTTGCATTTGAAGTAAAAGATAAGAAAAGAAATCTTTCATACTAGAAAAGGAAAAGAAGAGCTATGCCACAAGGAAGTGGTTTCCACCCATTTGGTGGCAGATTATCCAAGCATATGGGCAATTCGGTATGTATCAAGCACATGCGGACTTTGCTTGTCAATTGGTGACTCCGGTGGAAGGGCAGTCGCAGCAATAAAGCAATGCGCAACTTGGAACTGACAAACACAATTATTGTAGCTTTCTCCTGAAGCTGCATATCTGAGTTGTGAGTTTGCCTTTTTATGGTCGCTTTCACGTCGCTGCGGGGTTGCTCCGGCACATTGCTAACACTCACCTTGTAGACTATGATGTACGATGTAGGTTTTTTCCACAATTTTGAAGAAGACACACACGAACTGGCAGACTGATCTATGGCGATAACAGTGACAAGAGAAGACGTTAATACGTTGAAGGATGACTGGCTCACGGATAATGTATACTTTCACATCATTCCCTTTCCCCAAATCATTACTGACGCAATCTTTGATAGACAATCGCCTTCTGGCAGGAGTATGTGAACTCTGTTCCCCCTTTCGCAAAATAGTTGCCTTCACAAAAGCCACTACTAAACATTCCCTTCAAACAGATACCTCGAGAACGAATACCTCAAGCGATACCCCTCCTCCCACATCGTCTTACTCCGCCCCTCCATGGCATATATGCTACGAATGCACGAAAACCCAGTCCTACTCAGGTCCGCCCTTCCAGACTTCCGTCTCACCACTCACATCTTCCTCCCCATAAACGATAACCGCAATGTTTCTCAAGCAGAAGGTGGATCTCACTGGACACTTCTCCTCGTATCCGTTATCGATGGTGTAGCATTCCATTATGACTCTCTCTCGCCCTCGAATTATGAGGAAGCAAACACGACGACTTACAAACTAGGTCAGTTATTGGGCCGTCAGTTGAGATTTCTAAATCTTCAGGATACTCCCCAACAGCTGAATGGAAGTGATTGTGGGGTTTACGTGTGTATTATCATGCGCCATTTGTTGTTGAAGAGATTGTTGTGCGCAAACGCGAAGGAAAAGGTTTCTATGAGTATGGGAGGAAAATTTATTGATGCAAGTGGAGCGAGAAAGGAGATGCTGAAGATTATTGAGGGGTACAGGAAGGAGGGAGAGAGAAGGAGATCGTAAGTTTCCACCATCTTCAACATCTCCACTACGTGGGTTGAGCGACCGGAATGAATTCCTCCTGACAGAATTACAGACAAGACGAAAGTCGCAGCTCGTCCCCTTACCAAAAGGGTAATCGAAGTCCTCCCCGAATCGATTCATGAGCTACGCGTACATGAAAACGACTATAAGAAATCTTCAGGCGTTACGGATTTATGACAGGGCTGCATTGGGCAATGAGCGAGACGAGCGATACGATACGAGGCACAAGAGACATGATTACATGCTATTTCTTTTTTATACGATCACACGAGGCGAGTTTTGCGTTCTGGCAAATGGGGATGAAATGTGCTTTGGGGGTTGAGTTGCGAGCTTTACTAGCGATGGCTTCAGACTTGCATTGTGATTTTGGTGGCATGAGGGGCATGTAATGGTACAGATTGTACGAAGTGGCGAGACTTTTGCTAGGGTTAATGGTTGCTTGGGAGTGGCTTCTTTGTATTGAAGAAGAGAGATAGAGCCCAGTCTCGTTACTGGTATCAATGAAATTCGAGCATGGTATTATTAAGTTTAACTTCGTGCGGTGAATGTCAGTTTTGATATTCGTGCTGTTATCCTGCTACCAAAACAATACCAAAACGCTCAGTATATATTTGGGCGTAGGCCCATGCTTGCCGTTGACTAAAACGACACCGTGAGCAACCGGTATTTTGTTTTTACAATTTTGATCTTTCCAACACCTTCGTCAACTTTGGTTCCTCTCTAACCCAGAAGCTTCTTTACCGTACTAGGAGGATTTCCACACTCCTCCAACAACTTTTTATGACCCTCCATAGCCCCCTTACAAAAAGCTTCTAAGTCCATTTTCTCAACTCTCTCCCATTTCCCGTCCGCACCCCCATCAAAAACTTCCATACTAAACCATCCTCTGAATCCCGTTCCGAGCACCGCTCTTGCTACTTCTACTATAGGTAGATAGCCCCCGTTAAATGGATATGGTCTAAAATCATGACTCCATTTACCCCTCGCTCTCAGCTCTTCCTTTTCCTTTTCAGCAGGGGTGGTGGGTATAGGTACAGGCGGTTTATATGCGTCGGAGATTTGAAGGAGGTAAATTTTTTCAGGGGGGACGGTGGTGGTGAGGGATTGCAGAGATTGGGTGAAGTTCATGTGTAGTTTTGCTTGGGTTCCTAGATGCGAAATAAGTCCTGAAGAGGTGGTTGGGTCGCCATATTCGCCGCCGGCGGTTTGGAAGGTGTCGAGACAGAGACCGATGTTGGGGCGGTCGACTAGTTTGACGATTTCCCAGACGGAGGCCCAGGTTGGAGCGTGAGTTGCCCAGCACCTATAGCGAGGAGTGTCAGCTTGCGTCGATAAATGATGGGATGGGGTGGAAAAGTAAAAGAGGGGAACAGGGGTTTCTTACCAATTCTCATAAGCAAGACGGAACTTATGTTCCGCGAGCAAATCACACAACTCCCTCAAATCATCCGCCAAAACATGAAAATCCGACGAGATATCTGGCGAATCCGAACTTCCCACTTGCAACATATCGGTACCTACAGCCTCCATGATACGAATCCAACCCTTCGCCCGATCAAAAGCATCTTTCCTTTCATTCGATCCCTGTGGCCATCCTTCAAAGTTCGAGAATGGCTGTAACATCATTATTTCCAAATTGTTCTTTTCGCATAGTTTTTTGACTTCGGTTCCGGCTGAACATAATGAATCGTAGTCATTTTCTTTTATATCTTTTTTATGCAAGGTCGAAGCGAACGAAAGCAGATCAGGAAAGCCAAGTTCAATGGCTGTGAAGCCTGCTGAAGAAATTGCAGAAAGTTTAGAAGAAAGAGGGGTCGAAGATGTGCCAACAGAGACACTGGCGAATGACGCTGGGATTTGAGTGAGAGATTCTGGAGAGATGGTCATGGTGAAAAATTGATTTGTTCAGAGAAGTTGTGAAACCCAATTGAGCTTTAAATTATGGACGGGAGTCAAAACACTGAAGGTGCTGATTGCTTTTTATATAGGAAGTGACGTCAGGAAGGTGGTGGGGCAGATGTTTCACGTGATTGTTTATCATAGAAAGAGTTTCGGAATCATTCGGGAAAGCACTGTCGTTCTCCTGTGTCAGACGTCTTGGAGGATCTAGAGTTTGATGGTGGTGGAGAAGATTGTATGTTTGCCAATGTTTGGGTGACATCGGCAGTATCATCGGCCGGCTGCAAATACGCGATTCATGATGTACCGAATCCTCTCATCCACTCGAATGATACATATTACTCCGCCAAGTTGCATGAAATGTATCTGTGGGTATTCTTTCATGTGAAAAAACAGGCTTTTAGGTCCATCGATTGTAAATTGATAGATAGTAAAATAATAACACGTACCATACTTGTGGTAATTGGGTATCTCAAAACAGAAAACATGTCCATGTCCGGTGGAAAAAGTAAAAGAATCAAGACTTTTTGAACTCCTCCTTCTGCTCCATGGTTTGTGAGATGAATCCTCTCAATGCGGCCCATCTACTCGCAGTCCCTGAAGCAGCTGGTACTTCTTGACCCTCCGCAGCAGTGACGTCTTTCGGTTTGTCCTCCGTAACTCCAGCCAATTGTGCCATATTCTTTCCAAATCTCTCCCTCTCCATAGCCTCCAACTTCTCCCTCTTCTTCGTTGCTCCAGGTCGACTCTTCATACTCTTTTGTTTGATCTTTCCACTCTCTCCTCTGCTGATCTTCTCCAAGCCTTCTCCCTCAAAATCTGGTAGCGCATCTGCGAGACTTTCTAATGTGGTGACCAATTTCTTGTTTGGACGTCTGCGCTTGAGGGGTTTTGAGTTGCCCTTTTCGATGCGGTTGACAAAGGCGGAATGCTTAATCGTTCGTTTGTCTTTTTTGGACTCGATGAATGAATCGGATATAACGGCACCTTCACGATGCACAGGTGGAACGTGGATACCTGAGCCTGCTTGAGAAGCCTTCGCGCGCATAGAATTTCGCTTTTTGGGTGCGGTGGGCGCCTGTGAGTTTAGTTAGTTTTGCGACTCTAATCAGGAGAGAGAAATATTCTTCCGGGCGTACCATGATCGCGAATTAATTATCTCTTGAAATTTCAAGTGTTACAAGAAAACTTGCTTGAAAATTGGTGAAAGTTGTCAGTAAGAGATTTGGAGGTAAAAATGTTCACTGGTGCATTGAAAGCTCAAAGGTCTAGGTTAACTTAGCGAATAAAAAAAGTTGTCCGAACTATTTTTTATGAAGCGACTTTCATAATTTACCTACTCACCCACGCTCTAAAAATCACAACCACAGAAAATCAATATGAATTCCGCTGAGGAAAAGACAAGTGCTTTACGGCGTCAAATAGCTGATGCCGAGACTCAACTTGCCTCCCTAAAACTACAACTACTGAGCATCGAAGGGAAAGATGATAACTCAAAAGATCCTGAAGTCACAGAAGAAGGAAGTCTCGTGACTCATGACGAAAGCAAATGGCCCATGAGTTTGGAAGAATACAAGCGATATGGAAGACAGATGATTGTGCCTGATATTGGTATTCAGGGTTAGTTGTTAGATCTCTGGATAATTTTTTGATTTTTGAATACCCTACTAATCACGATTTAGGACAACTACGACTAAGATCAGCCTCTGTGCTCCTAGTAGGAGCTGGAGGTTTGGGATGTCCGGCTGCTGCGTATATCGCCGGTGCTGGAGTTGGTACTATTGGAATTGTAGATGGAGATACTGTAGAAGAGTCGAATTTACACCGACAAATATTGCATTGTACAGATCGAGTAGGTGTTAATAAAGCTGTCAGTATTGCTAAATATATATCTGGGTATGGATCCTCCCCAAAATCCTGAAGAGCATACACATTAACGGCTTTCTAGCTTAAACCCAAATATAAAGATAAATATCTATGAAACACATCTTACGCCTCAAAATGCACAGGATATAGTCAAAGATTATGATTTGGTTCTCGACTGTACTGATCATCCCACATCCCGCTACCTTATCTCAGATATATGCGTTCTTCTTCAAAAGCCACTCGTCTCCGCCTCCGCTCTTCGAACAGATGGCCAGTTAATAGTATTAAACAATCCCGCCTTACCTCCCGGTGATCTATCAGGCGGACCATGTTATCGCTGTGTCTTCCCTAAACCGCCTCCCCCCGAAGCTGTGACAAGTTGTGGCGATGGAGGAATCATCGGACCTGTTGTAGGTGTAATGGGAGTTCTACAGGCTTTGGAAGCTATAAAACTTATTGCATCTGGAAAATTGGCCACTGCTGGAGAAAATAACGACACAAGCCCTACCCACAAGACGAATCCTACCACAATGTTGTTATTCTCTACAAATGGAACGTCGCCATTCAGAAATGTCCGTTTGAAAGGTAGAAGATCTAATTGTTTCGCTTGCGGAGAGGAACCTCAGTTGTCTCTTGAGCAGCTAAAATCTGGTTCAATGGATTACGTCTTATTTTGCGGCATGACGCACCCTATCAAGTTATTGAGTGACGAAGAGAGGGTTGAGGCAAAAGATTACGAAGAATCAACAAGGAGGAAGAAAAAAGACCATTTGTTAATTGATGTTCGAGAGAAGGTGCAATTTGATATCTGTAATATTGATGGATCACACAATATACCTTTTTCATTATTTCAAGGCAACGGAATCAACAAAGATCGCCCACTATCATCGCTCACCGATGGTCTGGACCCGAAAACCCCTATTTATGTTGTTTGTAGGCTTGGTAACCATTCTCAAGTAGTCACAAAAAAGTTGAAAGAAATGGGATTGGATCTCAAAGGCGACAGATATATTGGTGATATCAAGGGAGGTTTACGATCTTGGAAAGAACAGGTAGATGGCTCTTGGCCCGAATACTAGACTCTGGTGTCAGAATCAAGACGTTTGAATATTTGAAGGAGCGAAGTTGATATTTGAGTTGGTATTGTGTGCGAAAAATGCATAATGTGAAGCACCATAAGGAGTGGTTCCATGAACGCCAAAATGGTACAACTGCTTGCTAAGTTGATGTCCTTGCTTGCCATAAAAAACAATAATCATTACAACCCTCCATTCATTCCACCATTTTCCTATGCGTTCCTAGCTGAATTGAGTTTTACACGTATGTTTGTCGTTTCCTGTTGAAAGCTCTTTGATCCTTCAACCATTGCCTATAACCGACTACACTTGAGATTTTCTCGCCGTAATAATCTAAACAGGTCAATTAGCAGTTTTCTTCAATCATTCATTCTCCTCTTCACATGAACCTCAAGTCAAACGTACCAGGCACCGGATTCGCCATTGAACTCGCACTAGGGTCCACCCTATACTTCTTAACCCTCGCATAAAACTCTTTCTCTTTAATATCCATCTGCTGTCTAAACTTTCTGTTCTTCACATTGAATGCCGCAGTCCCCAAAATTGGTCCGGTCAACCACCCAGCTCCTCCACATGCGAATGTTACTAATCCTAATGTAATGAATGGATCCAATGGAATTTGTCCCACCAGTGCATCCATATCCGTATGTGTAAGAATCTGCGCACCAATTGCGAAACCACCGAATCCCGTGCCGAGGGAAGAACCGAGTTGGAACCAGCGACGGGTTCGACGGAGCTTGAAAAATGTGTTCCAATCTAGAACTTCGGTTTGCGCAGCGCTGGACTTTGAGGTTTTGGTTGGTGATGAAGATGCAGTTGTGGATGCAGAACGGGTAGAAGAGGCACTCGATTGGAATGTGACATTGCGTTTATATTTAGGGACCAGAGCTCGACGTCGCGAGCTTGGGGTTTGAGTATCCGGAGTGCGAAGAGGGGTAGTTGATGCAGTTTGATAGGTGCATGATGTGAGGAACGATGGTTGTATGCGGCAGCTAGCTGCTGCTGTTCTTAATGTTGGCGCTGAAAACAGCATTGTGATAGAGAGAGAAGTGATTGCAACTTCTGGTGAGTTTTTGTGGTGATGACGAAAATTGAAAGCTTTCTTGAGTGCTTGTTTGTTGATCCTGGTATTTTGATATTGATGGATAGATTCAAACCGGTTATTATTTTCTTAGGGCGGCGGTACTATTTATGAGTTTTGAGCTAGCGCAGTAAGAGCAGCTCGAAAAGACAATGACGATTCTGACGATTCAGTTTAGTAATTAGATTTCGTAAGAAAGAAACATTAATAAGTAAGTATACAGACTGATTAAAGTTATTAAAAGTCGATAATAAGAAAAGTAATTCATTTTCATTACGTTTTTAGACGTAAAAACGACTCTTTTAATTAACTACTCAAATGATTCAGATTAAGTATTACTCTTTTGATTTAAAATTCTTCTAAATAATTAAATATTTATCTATTCTAATTATTGAATGAAAATAATAAAAATGTTAACGTGTTTTATTAGTATACGAGTCATATCAGTATGCGAGTTATTTCGAAAATTATTTAAATTAAGCTTTTTAAAATATTAATATTTTAATAATTAATTATTATTTTCTTGAATAAAAGATCTTGAAAAATAATTAAAATCTAGGTTTTCTATTAATCTAATTTTTATAAAATAATTTCATCATTTTCTAAGAAAAAAAGGAAATTGTCACGATTTTCGTTACAAAAAAACTATTTTTATAATAACAACTTTATAAATTCGAATTTCTTAAAACTTATTAGTATTACTATAAGGATGATAAAGACAATATAATACTATAATTCATACTATTGTAATATTACTTAAGGTTCTAAAAGCTAGAACTACGATACGTCTATACTATAGTGTCGAGACACTAGCGCAAGCGCTAGTGCGGTTATATAATCCCTGTCTCGATAAAACTAATTAGATTTTTAAAATTTTTATATGTTCAAATATTTTGTATCAAATTTTCAGAAAATTATATTTATAAATAAAGAAAGTGTACGATTACGCATAGACGAATTTTGTATAACATGATTTAACACCGAGTATACTATATCACTAAATGCACCACTTTTACCTCAATTTGCACTCTTCAACTTCAATATACAATTTATTAATTATTTATTATATAATCAAATAAAAAAGAAGTTCAAATACTCTTAATTACTGAAATTGTTCAAAAAAAAAAAAATTTAATATTCGAAAAACTATTAAGTTATATAATATAATATATATAATATTTCTTTATAAAATAAACGGTTTATTCTTTTATATAGAAATTTAAATAAATAATTATAGAATAATTGATTTAGAAAAGAAAATACTTATTCAATATAATTGATATAAATAATAAAGGATTTTTATTTAAATTAAATAATATAAAAGATATAATAAATCATATTCTTTAATTACAAAAAACAAAGAAAATTAAAAAACTCTAAGTTTATCGATTTGTAAAGTATTATAAAAATTAAAAATATATTTTAATTATATTTATAACTTTCAAAGAATTCTTTACAAAAATCCCAAACTTATTAAAAACTAGTTTTATATAATTTCGAATATATAAACAAAATATAGTATTCTTAATTACAATTTTTATAACTTCAATGAAATCGGCTTTATAATAGATATAATATACCCCAGAATAGTTATAACTAGTATTAAATGAAATAACAAAAGAAAAACAATATAACTGGGCAATCGAGAATGAGCAACAGTAATTATATATAATAATAATAAAAAGAATACTATACCTCCATTTCTAATAATTCAAAAACAAATATATCTTTCTAATTAATATACTAAATCGATTTTCTTATAGATTAGACTATTAAACCTATATCTAATAAATAAACAAATAATAAAACAAAATTAGAATAATTGAAACATTTCAATAAACATATAAGAAATCGAATTAAGAGTAAATATAAAATGTTAGTACTAAATAAGTATAAAAACCATAAATCAATATTATTCTAAAATTATTACAAAAAGAATAATATTAAATGTATATATTTATTATTGTATTCAAATTATTTAATTCAATCTTTTGATATTAAATGTTTTAGTATTTTAAAATGAGAATATAATATTTAAATTGAAAGGTTTATAAAAATATATATTTATTATATTTCAAAAATCGAATTCTTTATAGCTTTTAAAACTGTATATTAATAATCAATTACAAATCAGAATATGAAAACTAAATTCCAAAAAATAGAATTAATTTTATTTAATTTTGAAGCTATATTTTCTAAATTGAATATTCAAATCTATATACCTACTCCCCTTCCTTTTAATTTAAATCTCTAGATTTTTTAAATATTTTGGAATCCTATAAAAGTTTTTTTTTAATTAATATTAATTAAATTTCGAATAATCTATTATTAATCAAACTCTTTTATATTTATATTTGAGATTATATTAACTTTAATTAAAGGTATAAAGAGATTAATTTATAAAAATATATTTTTAAATACAAAAATATATATATTTTGAAAAGCAAATAAGGTATTAAGTAAATCTTGATATATATAAAAAATTTAATTATATTAAAAAAAAGTATTTATTAAATAAAAGGCTTTTAATATATTATTTTAATAAAAGGTTAATATTTAGATTTAATATAATAAATATCAAAATAAAGGAAATTTTAATAAGAAAATATTTTTTAATTAATATTATAATAAATATGGAAAATTAGATTATAATTTAAGAATTTATTAAAATAATATAATAGATTCTAAATTATTAGATTTTTAATAGTTTTAATTAATTAATTCAATTATTATTAAATAATATAAATCAGAGAATACAAATTGAAATAAAAATAATATATTCAATAATATAATATACTTAATATTAAACTATATTATAAAATAAATAATTTATATAATATAGTTTATCATTAAATAAACTATATTATTAAATAAACCATTTTTTCCCTTAATTCATATCTTCAATTTCTATATACAATTTATTAATTAATTATTATAAAATCAATTAATTAAAAAACCTAAATCTTTTTTATTATCAAAACTATTTATAAAAATAAAAAACTAAATATTCAAAAAGCTTTTAAATTTTATAATATTTTTTATATAATTCTTTAATATAAAATAAATAATTTATTATTTTAAATAAAAGTTTAAATGAATTATTATAATATTATAAAATTAAAAGAAAAAAATGTTTATTCAATATATTCTTAATATAAATTCAAAAGGTTTTTTATTTAAATTAAAAAATATAGAAAATATAATAAATTATATTTTCAAATTAAAAGATATAGAATATATTAAGAAATTTTAAATATATTGATTTATAAAATATTAAATCAAATTAAAAATATATTTTAATTATATTTATAATTTTCAAAAAGCTTTTTATAAAGATTTTAAATTTATTAAAAAATAATGTCACTTAATTATAAATATGTAAGTAAAATATAATATTTTGAATAATAATTTCTATAATTTTGATAAAATAAACTTTATAATAGATATAATATACTTCAAAATGATTATAATTAATATTAAATAAAATGATAGAAATAAAATAGTATAATTAGATAATAAAAAATAGATTATAGTAATTATATATAATAATAAAAAGAATAAAATTATATTTCTATTTTTAATAATTTAAAAATAAATTTATTTTTTTAATTAATATATCAAAATCGATTTTCCTATAAATTAAATTATTAAATCTATATTTAATAAATAAATAAATAATAAAATAAATTTAGAATAATTGAAATATTTTGATAAATATATTAAGAATTAAAGAAAAAATAGATATTGAATATTAATATTAAATAAATATAAAAATTATAAATCAAGAGTTTTTTAAATATATTATAAAAGAATAATATTATATATTTAAATTATTTAATTTAATTATTTAATATAAATTGTTTAATTTAATTATTTAATATAAATTGTTTAATTTAATTATTTAATATAAATTGTTTTAATAATTTGAAATATTTATATAATAATTAAATTAATAAATTTATTAAAATATATATTAATTATATTTCAAAAATTGAATTCTTTATAGTTTTTAAAATTATATATAAAAAATAAATTATTTTTTAGAATATAAAATCAAGGTTTCAAAAAATAGATTTAATTTTATTTAATCTTGAAATTATATTTTTAAAATTAGATATTTGAATTTATATATTTATTTTTCCCTTTTTTGATTTAAATTAATAGATTTCTCAAGTCTTTTATAATTTAATTGAAATTTCTTTTAATTAATATTAATTAAATTTCAAATAATTTATTATTAATTGAATTTTTTTATATTTATATTTGAAATTATATTAATTTTAATTAAAAGTATAAAAAGATTAGTTTATAAAAATATACTTTTAAATATAGAGATTTATATATTTCGAATAGTAAATAAAATATCAAGTAAATATTGATATATAAAAAAAACTTAATTATATTAAAAGGGAATATTTATTTAATAAAAGGTTTTTGATATATTATTTTAATAAAAGGTTAATATTTAGATTTAATATAATGAATATTAAAAAGAAAGAAATTTTAATAGAAAAATATTTTTTAATTGATATTATAGTAAATATAAAAAGACTGAATATAATATAAGAACTTGTTAAAATGATATAATAGATTCTAGATTATTAGAATCTTAATAGTTTTAATTAATTGATTTAATAATTATTGAATAATATAGATTTGAAGGTGTGAATTAAGGGAAAAGTAGTTTATTCGATGATATAGCCCACTCGATGATAAACCACGTTACTAATATAATTCGCATACTAATAAAACACGTTATTAGATAATAAAAAATAATAATAAAAAGCTATAATTAAATGATTACTTTAAAAAAAAAGTAATTTGAGAAAAAAAAATTAATGATTTTAAGTTAATTTTTTAATCATCGAATCTTCTATAAATGAATATTATATATTAGAGACTAATCAAATAATTTTATAACTAATAATAATTACTCTTTTTTAAATTAACTTAAGATTCTATTCTTTATATCCTGATATTTATTAAAAAATCTTTATTCATTAAATCGTTCTCGAATTAAATATTACCTCTTTCTCAATTTATTCTTTATTAAAATTTAGAGATTCTTATAAAGATTATGTCTTTGATTTTAATTTTATTTCTTAATGAAAACTAAGAAGTAATCTAATTTGAGTAGAGAGATTCGCGTTTTTATTAATCTTAGATCAAGTTAATCTCATCTCTAAAACAATCTCGACTTTAATTTTCTTCAACACAATTTCAATTTATTTAACGGAATCAATTTCCCTACGGGGAGAAAAGAGTCTCCTTTAAAAATAACTCTTTCGATCTGTCTGTTAGACTTCTCAATGTCTTCCGAAAATAATTCAGACTTCACCGGGGAAGATACGTGTTTACCAAGGTCAAGATTGGCCTTCGATTTCAGAGTAGTCGAAAGACCGATTTATAAACCAAATAGCGGTCCACCGCTTCAACCAATTTCACTCATTCCTCCTCACGAATTAAGAGGAATTATCCTCGACTGTTTTCCATACCCGAAACCAAACGACCCTAGCCACTTCCTAGTAGGCTATGAAGAAGAGCCACATAATCGCATTATTATACACCCAAATAATATACGCAATTATGTATCAGAATATACCTTGGAAAATTGGGAGCATGAACGGAGCACTGCAGAAGAGAATCGTCTTATTAAAGAACTTCAACCTCGTTTGATAGCATCAGAAAAAGCAAGAGTATTGCGAGAATTGAAAAAAGCTGGAAAATCACGTGATGATCTCAGGGAGGAGGATGCCGAGCAGTATCAGGCTTTGGGGATGCCGAAGAAGAGGGGCAGACCTAAGTCTATGGCGAGTGTTTTCAAGCCAGCACCGAAGACAGTATCTGATCAACCAAGTGGGAAGCGTGGACCTGGAAGACCTCGAAAAGTGGTGTCAATTCAAGTTGTTTCGCCTACTACCTCTCATCCTCATCGGCCTTCTTTGTCTCAGCCATCTTTATCCCAACCATCTTTATCCCAACAATCTCTATCTCAACCCTTTGCTAAAGCACCCAGAGCAATGTTAGAGCATACAATTGCCGACTCAGCAACCGAAGAGGAAGATGAAGATACCGATTTAGCGCTTGATGATCATCTCAACCAAGAGGAAACCCATATATCTAACACCGCTATGAATTCGTCTACTACCCTGAGAGTTACGAGTCCGATAATGCAGCGTTCCAGTCAAGGTCGAGTAAACAAGACCCCTATTCAATCACCACAGAAGTACAAATCCTTCAAGATGTCACCCCACGATCGTCCCAAGAAAGCTCCAATTCTTCCTGGCATGAGTGTAAACGCATACCCATACGACAATTTAAAATCCAATGCTAGCAACAACAAAAAGAGCATAAAGGTCGGCAAAGGTTCAAGCACCCAGAACCAACCTCTAGCGAAACTTCAGTTACCCCTTCTATCAAGTGGCGAACAGTCCACTGGTCGTACATCTCAAGGCACAGGTCAGAAGCCTCAATCTAAAATTGTCGATTACTTCAAGGATTCTGGTACTAAAACACCTGCTTCGAAGACGCTTGATGCGAATCGAAGTCACGAGCCTTCGTCTAGTTTGAAGCGTAAATCTTCTCCCTTTATAGAACGAGAAGGTGAGTCAAGTGGAAAGTCCCGAAGTAAAACTCGAAAACTAGGAAAGGACTCCGATAAGCATTATGATACCGAATACAAGGAAGCTTCGAAAAAGAGGTCTGGATCAGCCACCATTGAGAATTATGAAACAAGCTTCGAGAAAAGATCAAGTGCACGACGTGGAAGCGATGCTTTCAAATTTCGTAGCTCTAGAAGTAGAAGTCGACGACTTGAATCTTCTCCTGGTAATAGGAGGGGGCTTGAGGATGAGGATGAGGATGTGACTGAAGATGTGGATGTGATTGAAGATATGGATGAAGGCGAACAGAAAGGCTCGCGAGAAGCTTTAGGCGGTGAACCGGCAACATGGGATGTAAAATCAATCTTGGATCACAAGTACGAATCGAATAACGGTGACAACAAGCAAGAATTATGGTATCTTGTTGATTGGGAGGGAGGTTGGAACCCGACATGGGAACCTGCTAATGGCATCTCAGAAGGGGCCGTTGATGAGTACATCGCTTCGAGGCAAGCTCAAGGACTTGGCAGTCTCTCTGTTTCAATTGAAGCGATAGATATAGGGTGAAATGGTGATTCTTTATCACGAGGCGATGATCTAGAACGCAGTATTGAGGACGACGGGTACTCGTAGTCTTTGCTCCAGGGAAGAAATCAGAACTCTGCGTTTTAAATGAAAGGAAATGGCAAATCAATATAGAGCAACGAAATAAATGTTGGGAGATAAAGTCGGGGTTGTGGATAACATTTTATCTGGCATCGGTGGATCATTAGGAGAATCATAATGGGAGGCGTCTGAGGCTATGCTTGGTAGATTTGAGGCACATTTGGCCATTACTCGCAAGACAACTCGAAGTCTTAGGTAGACAACGAGAATGGCGATTTTCATAATTATTACAGATACCCAATAGCATACCACATTAGCGATTTTCCCGAGGTTTTTGCAGTCGTATTCGTGCAAGGTGTTTTTGAGGTCTAGTGTATGCGTGGAATACCAGGAAGTGCAAGTGCTACCGGGATTTATAACAATTAGGCAATTGATCGCTAATATGGGGGTGAACCCCGCCTCTGACCCCCACGCGTAGCTCGCATTATCGACGTTGAGTATTAGGGACTCGAGCTCAAAATATATAAATGATCACAGCTGTACTATCTGCATTTGCTTGAAATAAGATACTTCCCTTCCTTGCTTTTGGACTGATCTTTCAATCTCGTTATCTGAGCGCCATTTCTACAGTCATCAGCTTTATATAGGCATGCTGAGCGGATTGTCAGATTCATTCATTTATATTAGCAACTAATATAGAAACGTTGCCAATCCACTCTGCCTAGGTCAGATAATGGCATCTACACAAGTAGATCTCACCTCTCCCGAACCCTACATCACTCCCGCCGAGATCTACAGCGGTACCTCATTCAACACTGGCGGCAATCCCAGCCTAGATTCTTCATCATTCACCCCACCAATAACTCTGCGTATAGCAACCGGAGGAGCTGGTCAATCCGGGCTTATCCGTGCTCTTGCCAATAAGTTTGTCGAGTTCGAGATAGACAAAACAGGTTGTTCACGATTCAGCATTGCATGGTTATTATCAGATACGTCTGCAAGTTTCAACTATTTGGGAAGTAGAGCGGCGGATTGTAGCATCACTTATCATAAGACTGCAGAGGAGATAGCTTTAAAGCAGGGAATTGCGGAGAGGAGGGAGTATGCTTGGAGAGATCATTGGTTGCTTGTTGGTAGGTGTTTTGCTCATTGTGTGTGGCTATCATATTTGCTGTCTCGTCTTGATGAAAAAATCCAAGCTCCATTTGATATGGCCCATTCTGTTCTGATGATTTCTAGGACCGAAACAAAATCCTGCCGGTCTTCCACTTGATAGTACAGATGACTCTACAATATTTGATCTGTTCGGTCAGTTATTCATGGCTTGTGTAGAAAATCCAAATACTAGATTTTTATCCCGATACGATAAATCGGCCGCCAATATCAAGGAATCCTCTATCTGGACAGCTATCGGTCAAACTCCGTGGGCGCATCCATATTCAAGTTGGTATCATCGTTACATAGAGTTTCCATTTGCTGCTTTGAGAGCTGCGTGTGCCTTGGGTGAGTATACACTCACCGATAAGGGTACATGGTTAAGTATTGAAGAAGAAATTAGAGATAGGATGTGTGTTTTTGTATGCTATGGTTCCGTCTCCGAGATGTGTGTTGAGCTGATATATTGATCGTGTAGAAAGCGAGCACAGATGCCCCAGATGATCCATTATTGAATCCTGCACATATTTTAGTGGGCACGAGAGGGAAAAACATAGCCATGGCTCACAAATTTGCAGATTGGATAATAGCAGAGGATGGTGGACAGAAGGTTATTGAGGAATTTGAGGTGAATGGTGCTATCTTGTACACTGGTGCACCGAACTCTTCCAAGGTCACGAAAGCCAATACAGTGAATCGAAATTCTTCATAAGTTCCTTCGTTCAACCATCTGATCAATTTGCTTTGAAGTAGTCAAATAATTCGAAGGAATTATAGCCCAACTCCTGATCGTTATGGTACGCCAAAAAAATATATATGCAGTCACACTATGAGCTATTAGTTTTACAATTATGTTCGATGCAAATCTGAGATATACTTGATGGTTAGTCATGCTAAATTACTATCACTGAAGTCCAGTTCAGGATAAATAGCTACAAGTTGATGCCATATATTGAGTGCTTATGAATAAGTTGAAAAAGCGAATGTTAACATGCAACCCCTAGCCCTCCCTAACCACACTCGACTAAACCATGATCCTACAGATCGGCTGTTTACCGATCGCCATTGACCTCATTTCTCTTCTTCAATCAGCCAATCATGCACATCTCGTTCTTCAATCTCCTTCTTTTGCGCAGAGTCACTTTGGATAGTAATTATCTCCAGCAGTCGCATCTCTCATACCCATTCCTTCCCTCTTTGCGGAATTAAACACCTGAAAGTAACACCGAAAAGGTCTTCTCGGCTGAAAGATAGCCTCATCTTCTAGCACACTATATTCGCCCGATTGATCCCAAGTAACAGGTTCCTGAGACGAATACCAACGACATAATCTGCGTCTCGGCAGCCAAATCAACAGAGTCGCGTTTGCACTACGGCAATTGTCGCCATCTCTGTGATCAATATTTCTCAATGCTAATCTCAAAAAATCACCATAAGTACCTGCACGAAACGCGATATTGTCCTCCAGCCCAAACTGCTTACGTCGATCGACAAAACAAACATTCGGCGCAACAATGCCTGGTCTTACGTATATTAGTACCTCGGCGCCAGCTTTCTGAACAGCAGTTCTTTCTGGAAAACCCATCTCGCTAGGCAATTTACTTGCGGCTTTTGCTTTCCTGCGTTCGGTATACGAATAGCAATCTGTTCTCCAGGATCCGCATACAATGCTTGCATCTGATTCGATTCTGCCAGGAAGTTTTGGCGGGACTCCGAGGGATCGGCATGAAGTATTCCAGTTGAAAAATATGCTGTTTAGGAATTCTTCTCGATGAAGACAGGCCTCTCTATGTGCTAGGGTAATGAGATCGTTGACTCCTGAAGACAAGGCAGTGATGTCTGCGTTTGTCAATTCCGCTGCGTTGCGGAGGACAAATCTGCCGAAATTCGCATTTGGATCCGAATTCTGCTCTCTGTCCATGGCCCGAATTGCCATTCCAGTGTCTGCTGCAAGTCCATGGATAGTATTCGGAATCTCATCGTTGCGGGGTGACATACTATAATTCGAGAGTCGAGGTTCCCTTCCCTGGGCCCTCATCTTGCACACATAAAACTCAGAATTCACAGCTCTTTTACTTGTGTAGAACGCCATCAACGCCATTTCCTGACTACAGGTATTCTCAAAATCGAAATTCGGACGTGTAGCTCCGTATTTGCCTTGAGAAAACGCATATGCGACAGCACGATGATGAGCCAGATTATTCGGATCGATCACCATCCACACTACCTCGCCCTGATGATTCCGCTTGATTAGTGCGCGGACTTGAGCTTGGCTTGTCTTGTCAAATGGATCGATGATTTGTTTTACTCTCTCAGTCATCTCGCCCCAGGCTCCGGCGAGACAACATAGAGTCACAGCTGGGCTTGCTTTTGCTGAGGCTTTGGCAATTACTCCAAGATGATGAGGATTAGGAGGCGTCACTGTTATAGATTGGCACAACGCTGATGATTTTCGGTCAGGATGGTAATTTAGCTTGGTGATGAGGTTGAGAAAGGTAGATATGATCTTCATAAAGTGCCTTTTTATATCGTTTGAGTGATAATCGTATGTGAGCGAGCCGAGTTGTCAGCTCGTACAGCAGTGCTCCTATGGCACCCTCAATCATGTGGTTCTTAGAGAATAGGTTATCGTTCCTTAATAATGACAAGAAAGGCTTCTTTTAGGTAGGCGAATGGGTTGAATGTCAGATGGAACATGTGTAAGAGGAGCTTACCATTCAGTCCACTGCAGAGGCCTGAAGGCGCCCAAATTGTCACCGATAATATGCTGACAATAGACATGTGAATTATTTGGAGATCATAAACATATGAAAGCTACTACTTTTCATATTTGCAGTTCGACTTCTCATAGTGACTGCTCAAAATGAAGACAACATAGATACAATGCTACACTCTTTCAAACTTTAATGTGCACTTGCAACTGCATTGTGGGATCATTAAACCTTTGTCTTGAAAATCAATGTGTATAAGAAGATCGATTTATCAAGAAGCCGTGGACAGGCGAGAGAGAAATCATTTGTTCTAGCTGCTTCCTACTCATGCTAGCTGTCCACACCAGGTAGGTACAAGTTGAAATATATTAGTCTGCTATACTATACCAAGTTCACCACAGATCAAAGAGAAAACGACCTCACTCACAATAGCTCCTATTTTCTCGCGAGCACACTTCAGGTGCCCAATAGTCTAGGCTAGAAGAGTTTTGAATTATAGTAGTCCAATATTAAAAATAGATTTATTAGATTCGGAAAGCGAATGCCTTGAACTTTCAGACTGCAGGCCGAATTACTGAGGTTCCTGGCCATACCATATTCTACCCTACATTAAACTTGACCTCCCACCAACCTCCGTCCCTCCTTGTCCATTTGGCATATCTCCACTTCTTCCCACAACAAACTCCCTATATATTCCCTGTAACCTCCTTCGCTCGTCAGCACTGATACTTGGTCTTGTACCCTCCAAACTCTTCACTAGATGTTTCCAGAGAATAGTGACTTCTTGTTGACTCTTAACCTCCTTCTGCTCTCCTCTATCTTCACTCGAAACATCAATACCCTTTGCTCTCAGTTTCTCCTTCTTCTTTGCCTTTTTGATCTCTTCCAATTTGGCAGTAATGGCAGCTTTCTCAGCAAGTTGTTTGGAGCGATTGTTACCAGCTTTTGCGCGTGTCTCGGCTTCCGTCCGATCTTCATCTTCGCCATATCGGAACTGTACAAAACTTCGAGGCCCGCCAGATGCCCCATTTGTCTTAGCACCATTACGTTTTCCTCCAACTTCAACTTGTTCATGATCACCAAGTACATCGTGAATGGCTTCAAGTTGCGCATTGGATATTAAAGCCTGAAGATCTGCACCAGAGTAGCCTTCAGTCCTACGAGCAATCTCATACAGCCCTCCTTCAGGACTATCTCGGACTTCTTCAGATAGTTTCAGCTTTTTGCCTAGTGCCTTGAGAATATCAAAACGATCATCGACATTTGGAAGATCACATATAAGGGACTTGTCCAAGCGACCCGGACGGAGTAATGCCGGATCGATCAAATCTGGTCTCGAAGTAGCTGCGAGTACATAAACTCCGGATAAGCCTTCGGCACCATCCATTTGTGTCAACAATTGATTGACTACCCGATCAGTTACACCAGTAGAATCATGACCACGCTTAGGAGCTATAGAATCAAACTCGTCGAAGAATAGTACACAAGGTCTAGCAGCTTCAGCTCGCTCGAAGAGATCGCGAACAGACTTTTCAGAAGCACCGATATATTTGTTGAGAATTTCGGGTCCTTTGACACTGATGAAATTCAACCCACATTCTCCTGCGACTGCACTTGCAAGGAGAGTTTTACCACAACCTGGGAATCCGTACAAGAGTAAGCCCGATCGCAATCGCAGTGGACATTGTGCAAAAATTGGCGCATAAGTAGTAGGGTACTGCAATGTCTCAAGTAGAATTTTTCGGGTCTCCTGCAATCCTCCAATCGAGTCAAAAGTGGTAGTGGAAGTCTGAAGGGTAACGTTTCGAAGCGACGCCGGCGTAAATCCTTTCAAAGCACTGTCAAAATCTTCTCTTGTGAGTCGAATAGAACCACTATCGGCGTTCTGCAAGGAGCTTGAGACTGTCCGAATCATTGCTTCGCTCCTAGCTCGCGCTACGAGAAGGACGAGGTCTCCAGGCATGTATCCATCAGTTTGACCAGCTAGGTCTAAGAAATCGAGATCTTGATCAATAACATAACCATCGCCTTCCGATTTCTTGGCACCTTCCACACTCGAGCCACCCATCCAATCAGTATCATTGTATCTCTCGCTATTATCTGCTGTGCTTGGGCGGCTACCAGATGCCACTGGTTTTGTCGTAATTTCCGAGATGGCATTGTCCATAGCAACCTTTTCCATAACTCTTCTTCGCCCTTCTTTGTTTGGAGCTTTCAAAGCAACAATCTCTCGCACGCAATGACAACCAATAATATTTTTGTGAAGTGACTCTTTTGCTTGAGCGGTGGCAAGCAGAACAACGTTACTGCGATGTCCAATTAAGTATTCTCTAGCAATTGAAATTATCTTCTCGCTGATTAAATCACTTCGAAGGTTGTCATTGCCTACTTCAAGCTCCGTTTCTGCGGGACACAGTTTGTCAAGATCATCCAATATCACAATGGACTTTCCACCGATTCTTGCACCCCATGAGGCAGCCAAAAAAATCCGATCAAATGTTTCCCGAATGGTTGAGACACGTGCCTCATCGGTAACAAATTTTCGACATGAAAGATATGTGGTATGATACCTGCCATCTTGCCGTAAACGATGTGCTAAGTTTTGGACTACTGCTGTCTTGCCAGACCCCAAAGCACCAGTGAGTAATACGGAAGATAGGTGCGAAAGGTGTGAGTGTAGTTGTTCTATGAGGCTATCAATTCCCACAAGAACAGGAGCTTTTGCACCAATACCATCGATCGCATTTGCTGCAAGGGTTAAGGGTCTTGGAATAGCAGCTTGAACCTCAAGATTGAATTTCTTTTCCGAACCAAGAAACCAATTACAAGGCTGCTTTCCGGAATCTTGTGGTCCTTGCTCCAGACGAATCATTCCGCCTTCCCAGCTTGATGGAAAGTCAGAGCCTGATGGCTTGCCGAGTACTAAGCCATCAGTCAATGGTCCTTCAAAAATGCCACTATTAGAACCATTCTTGCTGTACATTTTCATGATTGATTTTGCAGCTTCTTCCCGCTCAGCTTTCGATTCTCCACCAAACTTGAGACCTTCACTCGCTTTTCCCGTGCTAGATGTATAGGGGAATATCTTGATATGTGGAGTACCAGATTTAGAAGTGGGTTGAAAAGTTGGCTTTGAAGCTTGGGATGGGGCAGGCGCAACCCTTATCACACCTCCAACCATATTCTTACAACCCATGGAGGCGCAAAGTGAACTTGATAAGGCCACATGGTATTGGTCTGGCGGTTCATCCCATGTCATCAATCTAGCTACTACCTTCGATGCAGGCTTCCCGGCAACACCGGTATTTTCATCTTCTTGTTGTTGTCGTTGTGGGTCGATTGGCTCTTGCAAAGTAGCAGGCTTGACAACGGTGACGGTGACCCAAGTGAGCCCTTTCAAGGAGTCACCGAGAATGAAGTCTCCATCAACCCAAATCTTCAATCCTCCATCATCTGCATCTTTCTCTTCTTCAAACCACTCCCCACAAAGTGCTCTGTCAATTCCTCTATAATACATAGCCGGCTTCGTCTCTTCACTTCGTCCACTTTTCCGACGTACTGTACTAGAAACACTTCGTCCGCCAACACTCTTCCTTGAAGATACACTCATATTTTCGCCCGTATTTCGTGATGGCTTCGACCTTGTTTTGGGGGCCACAATAACTTCTGCATCTGGTGCTAGCTTCGTGAACGCAATATTTGAAGGCGGAGCAGGAAGGAGAGACGTGACTATAATATTGGCAGTTGAGGTTGGTGAAAGGTGTAACGTAAGAGGATGCGGCAGTTGCGATGAACCACTTGGTGAAGTAAAGCTTGGATTTGGTAATGCGCGAATTTGATTGATGAAATTGAGCTCGAGGAAATTAGCATGCAATTCTATAATCTCCCAATCTTCTGGCGTCAAAGGTTCAATATTAATGGTATGGGCGACAGGAGGGTCGACGTGTATAGTGGCTGTAATTTTCTGTCCATCTGATATTCCTAAAGTTCGCGCAAAAGTTGCATCTATCTCTACAACCTGGACTTCTTGCTCTCTACCAGATCCCCTCGTGCCACTTATCCCATCCCTCCCAACAATTGGTGCAAGCTTGCGCTTGCTTTGCATACCCGTCCATCCCACGAAAATGGATCGTTGAGTCGGGGCGCCATTCGTTGGATTTGGGCTCTGCGGAGGTGGAAGTCGGTAGTTCAATTCTACAATCACATTTTGTGCAAGCTACGGAATGTGAGTGTGTGATTATGAGATAGATTCTTTGCTACTTACAGCATTGATATTAACTAGTAATGAAGATAATGATGAAGGCAAGTTGACCAAGCAATTCTTTAGATGAATTAATGATATCTCCGCAGGTGTAGCTTGACTACCACGTCCTTTCAAGTTTGAGGCCATAATTAAAGGTATTACATACAAATCAATATACCATAATGAGGGAGAAAAAGATAGAAAGGAGAGAGGTTCCCAAAAGATGAAATGCCTTGAGCATTTCAACTGACCGTCACAAGTTCACCTCGGTATATCATTTCTGGAGCGCATACCCACCCGTACCTGAGTGCTGCAAATGCGGTTCCGCTTATTCATGGCACACCAATACCAAAATTGTACCCAGGTAGAATCTTGCCATTCAACCCCTTCAGAAATGAACTCAAAATCAAGACAATAATATATTGTTTTGCGATTGAAACAACCGTCAATTTTTGATTTCGCATTTCAGAATTTACCAATCCAATTTGACTTATTTTAAATCATTCAATTGATTTTAAATGTCGATTTTAGTATATTTTGAACAATGTAACTATGATTAAACGGAGCTGCGTGCCACAAATAGCTTGATTAGACACGAAAATTCACGAACCGTTGACAGGGGGATTGATCTTTACTATCAGCGCGTGAATTTCAATTTAGAGAATTGATTGAAAGATTCCTCAATCCAACCTCATAAATCTTTGCGCCGTCAGCCCCTCCAATAATAATTTCTCTATTACCGTCTTCCATTACTTGCGCAAAGTCTTGAATCTTTGGTTAAATTCTCAGAGTATCAAGGAGCTCTCTGGAAAATGGCGCTGCTTCAATACAAAGCTCCCGTCAACTATGAAGCTCATCAAGGTATGGAGTTTTCAATGACTGAGACTTTCTATATACTGATCCAATGACTAGAGGCTTTCGAAGACTTCCTTTCCACTTTCAAAACTTCTCCGACTGCGAACATTACCCATGCTTTGGGCGGCATGAACATTGATGAGGATGATTTCAGCGATGACAACGATATGATGGATGATGATGATGACCAGACCTCAAGGAGGCAGACCAGAGCTCAAGCAAAGGTTCCCAAGCTGAAGTATTTGGAGTTATTACAAAAAGTTGCGGACAGATACGAGGATGAAATCACAATTGAACTGGACGATTTAGCCAAAGTAGAGCGACCGCCCCTCCATCTGTTTGATATACTAACAGTTGTAGTATGACGACTTACTGGATGAAGCTGGAACTCCTCTCAATCTAGTCAACTCGATTGAAACCAACGCAAAGCATTATCTGGACATTTTATCCAAGGCGGTCGATGCAGTGATGCCACAACCTACAAGAGAAATCAAGTGAGCTGAGCTGTAAACTTGCTGTGGTTTGTTTACTAATTCGGTCACAGCTATAAGGATGATGTACTTGATGTTCTCATGTCGCAAAGAACAGCTCGAAATAACGCCTTACGCCGTGCTGCCGCCGAACAGAGCGATATAACGGTTGAACCCGAACTCTTCCCTGCCGAACTTACAAGAAGATATACTTTGAACTTCAAACCATTAAGCGCTTCCGGAGATAACTCCAAAAAAGCTTTGGCAGTGCGACAGGTTCGTGGTGAACATCTTGGTCATCTTATTACCGTTAGGGGTATTACTACAAGAGTCTCAGATGTTAAGCCGACTGTGGAAGTAAACGCATATACTTGTGATAGATGTGGTTGCGAAATTTTCCAGCCCGTTGGATCCAAGACATTCGGGCCATTAGTTGAATGTCCTTCTCCCGATTGTACTACGAATCAAACCAAAGGACAACTCCATCATTCCACTCGAGCCTCAAAATTTCAGCCATTCCAAGAAATCAAAATCCAGGAAATGGCCGAACAAGTCCCGGTTGGTCACATTCCTCGAATGTTGACTGTTCTATGCCACGGGGCTCTAGTTCGACGTATCAATCCTGGAGATGTTGTCGATATTGCAGGAATTTTCTTACCTACGCCATATACGGGCTTCAAAGCCATTAGAGCTGGTCTCCTCACTGATACATATCTTGAGGCACAGCACGTCACTCAACACAAGAAGGCTTACGAAGATTTAACTATTGATAGCCGAGTTTTCAAGCGAATTGAGCAATACAGAGCATCTGGCCATGTTTACGAATATCTTGCAAAATCTATCGCGCCTGAAATTTACGGTCATTTAGATGTGAAGAAAGCATTACTTTTATTGCTGGTCGGTGGTGTTACTAAAAGTATGGGGGATGGAATGAGAATCAGAGGTGATATCAATATCTGTCTGATGGGTGACCCGGGAGTGGCAAAATCTCAATTACTCAAATATATCACCAAAGTGGCACCCAGAGGAGTTTACACTACCGGTCGTGGAAGTAGTGGTGTTGGTCTTACTGCAGCGGTTATGAAGGATCCAGTAACTGATGAAATGATTCTCGAAGGTGGTGCGCTGGTACTTGCTGATAATGGTATCTGCTGTATCGATGAATTTGACAAGATGGATGATACCGATCGGACTGCAATTCACGAAGTTATGGAACAACAGACAATTTCCATTTCCAAGGCCGGAATTTCTACGACTTTGAACGCTAGAACTTCCATTTTGGCAGCTGCCAATCCTCTTTATGGCCGTTACAATCCCAGGATATCTCCAGTGGAGAACATCAACCTTCCAGCAGCTTTACTCTCCCGTTTCGATGTACTATTCCTTATTCTTGACACTCCTACTAGAGATAACGATGCTCTCCTCGCTCGCCACGTCACCTATGTTCACATGAATAATAAACATCCTGATACTGAAGGTGTTGTTTTCACACCACAAGAAGTTCGTCAATATGTTGCTCAAGCTAGATCCTATCGTCCAACGGTTCCAACGAGCGTCTCTGAGTATATGGTAAAAGCCTATGTCAGAATGCGTGATCAACAATCTCGTGATGAGAAAAATAAGAAACAATTTGCTCATACCTCTCCTCGTACCCTTCTTGGTGTTCTTCGTCTATCACAAGCTCTTGCTCGATTACGTTTCAGCGAAGAGGTGGTTCAAGATGATGTTGATGAAGCTCTTAGACTTGTTGAAGCATCGAAGGAGAGTTTGTATGCTGATCAAGATGGATATAGAAAGGATTCTAGTCCAAGCAGCAGAATTTACAATATGGTTAGAGCTTTGGCCGAAGCTGGTCAATGCAGACCTGAAGAGGCGGACGATGAAGATGATGAGACTTTGGGTATGGAATTGAGTATGAAGAAGGTCAAGGAGAGAGTCATTGCCAAGGGATTTACCGAGGATCAATGGCGAGCTGCTGTTATGGAATACACCGATCTTGATGTAAGCTCTCACATTTTCTACCCTTTCCATAGGATTTTTGCTAACAATATCATTAGATCTGGCAAACGGCTGGTAATGGAACGAGATTGCTCTTTGTCATGTCAGAGGCAGCGCATATGGCAAGGGATGAAGAGTATGAAATGGAATAAATATATCCGAATATATGAGATAAAGATTATATATGTGCATGTAATCCAGGCGTTTGTGGATTAAGGATATCCATGTGGCGTTTTGTTGTATCAGCTGTGGTGAGATACCGATAGAAAAGCATTAGTTGAATACCTATTGTCAATCCAGTTCATAGTACCTTCTTCCTAAGCCGTGTTGATACTGGTGATACTAGGGATACCTATCCTCAATCATTGGCATTTTTAAACCTTACCAAAACTCCTCTCATCGTCTTTAATCTACCTACCTAGCTGGAGGCAGTAAGAAGTACTCGGCGACAAGCCCTTACGGACGATATCTGGGGAACGATAATCTCGAATGAGGACTTGGACATGATGAATCCTATATTTTTCACCTACATAAAAGAGATAAAATGTAAACAAGTTCGAATCATACTCGTACTCTCCCTTCACTCTGCCTATAACACTTCCCCACTCATTTTCTCCAATTTCTCTCCTTTCTCTTGCATTTCACAGATCACTATCTGCAGATTTCTAGGTAGCTAGGTAGGTATTTCTAATCTCTATGATAATTATCATTCCTAGTACTTTTACTCGCTTTGTATACTACCTATCTAGGTACCAGGTGGGGGGGGGGGGGTACATAGCAGATACTCATTTCCTTGCATCAAACGCATGCTCGGATAGATGATGATGACTTCAAGCTAGGAAAGGCTTTTCACGAATCTGCACTGGAGAAGTTCATTATATCGACTAGGAACTCAAATGATACATGGCTTTTCTAGTTGACCATCAACGATGTGGAAATTTGTTGGAATGCCTACCTATGTAGGTACGTACTCAGATTGTCGTGAGAGTGCTGAAATGAAAGACTTCAAGATGAATGTTTTAAACTTATTGAATGAATGTCTATAGTCTTTTCGATGATCGATTGAAAGGTTTCGTTTCCAGAAGGATGTTCAAATGTTGTTGAATAGGCACTGAAAGATTGTTGAGCGTCTGGAGGATCAGATTATGGATTAACTTTTTGAATTAGAGCTTCGGGAGAAGAATTGAGGCGATGTATTCCACGCATTGCATTGGTGACACAGTAGCTACTCAGCCGATAGCACGGACAGTAGCTGAATGATGATCATTTCATTAAGTTGTTCAGTAGAATAAAACACTCCAAGAGCGAAGCTTGTGTATTATGTTGAGTTCGTTCAAACTATCAAATCATACTCGAAGGTCTCCAGCTATGTGAATGTCGGAAGCTGTACTCTAGAGCGGTATGAGCAATTGTAACCTGTAATTTGCACGTTGAGAATATGAAATTGACTAGCATATTGAGGTAAAGTGAGTTAAAGGACGACGCATCTCTTAATAGTATGCGATATCCTCGAAGATACTCTTGATCACGGCAAACGAGTATTTCCAAAGCGGAATATTGGAAGATATAATTACAATATTCGATAAGAAAATGTACCATGAAGTTTTTGATCCAATGGAGGACTCGTATCATAGCGCTCTCAATTCTTGATCTGAAAACGCTCCGAGAAGGTGAGGATGAAGAGAAAAGAAGGAGAAGAAGAATAATAATAAGATCGAATTCCAGGAGTGAAATGACTGCGAAGTTCAGTAGTACATCTAGGAGATATCAGAAGCGAGCCGAATGGCACCCCACTCCACTTCCAAAAAATTGCAACAAAGAATTTAAATAATTTAAATTACAATTAATAAAGCTGTTCACTTGACGACTACAGCCCGGTCTAAATAGCGCTTTACCATTTCAGGCCATGTTTGTCCTATTTGCACCAACTGGCCTCTTCCGATTTTACACGCTCCACCTTCAATTTCCTATATAAGCACCTCCAATTCCCCTCTCCCTCTTCTTCTTTTTCTTTTCTCTTCATACTTACCTTCTCGGAGCGTTTTCAGATCAAGAATTGAGAGCGCTATGATACGAGTCCTCCATTGCACATCGGGGCGACGAGAATCGTTGGGTATCCTTCGGGGTCCCCATCGGGGGAATTTTTGATTGCTTCCTTCGGGATAACTTATTTTTCATTATGATTGCGGTTTTGCACTGTAACATGAAGAAGAATTGCTTGACTTGGATGATTCGGATGATTGTTCTTTTCATCTGCTGTCGCGGAGAGGATGTCAAGAATATATAAGATGAACATCGAGCGACCTCCACGAAACTGAATTCTCTGGAAGTTCTTATTAAGTATTGATGATGTATACCTAGATAGCTAGCTATTGAAGCAACATGCTGCACTCGGAACACTGATTGGTTGATGATAAAATCCACAGAACATGTTAGATGCCTGGGATGATTGTGTTGTGGTGGCTCAATCAAGGATATGGATGTCGACAACAACGTGATATGCCACATCAACGCGACAACTATATAGACATGAAGTAAACAAACCATATTACATCCTCATAACATTCAAGATATTCAAAAATATAAAGTAATTACAAACTTCACTACATTCCTCTTTTCCCCATCCAATAACGAAACCTTACCGCAGATCTCCAATTTAACCTCTCCCTATTGTTCCACGCCGAGGTAAACCTTCACATGTTGATCAAGGAGATTACTCAACTTCAAAGCATCTATCCTCCATAATCAACAAAACAACATCGCTCATGCGACACCCATAACCACTTCAAAACTATGGAATCAGCACCTAACGGTGCTCCAGAAGCTCCCAAACCCCCTCGCGATCGAATCTCCGCTAAATCTACTGCTGATCCTATTCTCCGCAATGCGATTCGTTATACCATTTCCGCGAAAGAATATGAAACACTACATAAGTACATAATCTCACGATCGAAAGTCTTGAAGAGAAATGCACCTACAGTTACAAAGGTAGAGAAATTGGTAGAGAGACCAGGCCGCGATGATTATAATGCTGCGGCTGTGAGGGGTAGCTTGAGGTTATTCCTTGCTACCAATGCGGGATTGAAGATATATAGTTTGATCACGGAGAAATTCATGGGCGCTGGTAAAGCTGGGTATGTTTTTTGTTATTCGTCTTCTTGCAGATGGATGTGGAAATAAAGTTAAACGAAAGCTAATTGATGTTATAGGGGGAAGAAGACCTCATTATGGAAGTCACCAAACTTCCGCCTCTCTCTTTCCCTTTCTGCGATACTTCTTCTTCATCGGATTCTTTTCCGATTCTTCACCCGACTTCGCGCACATCTCCTTACATCCGAAGCCGAACCTTTCAGACAGCGAAACCCGAAAACAAGTAAGACGCTTACATCGAGTTTGGCACCAGCAGTTGGAGCAAGTTTGGCTGGGTTTATGTTGGGGGTCTATCCGAGCGACCAGCTGAGAGTTACAATTGCGATTTATGCATTGAGTAGAGCTGCAGAAATATCGTATAATTTGGCAGAAGAAGAGGGCTGGATTTGGGGGAAAGAGGGAAGTAGATGGGAGAGACCTTGGTGGTGGGGAAGTTGGTTACTTTTCCCATTGACTTGTGGTCAATTGCTTCATGCTTTTGTTTTTGATAGAGATTGCTTTCCAAAGGTATGGTTCCCAATTGTTTTGATATGCGTGGGTGCTAATAATGTACAGCAATATGGAGATTTCATTCTGAAAAACTCTCCTCAGTATATCCAAACTCGACTGGAAGATTATCCAGCCAATTTACCATGGCCAAATACTTACGAAATCGTCGATAACCTCGCCGAAATGGCCCGTCTCAATTACCCGTATGTTATCGTCACTCTCACAATTTTATATCAAGTAAACTAACACCCACACCAGACCCTTCGTGTCCCCAATTCTCTTCCCCAATAACCCTACTTTACCACAGTCTCTCAGCAGCATTTCTCCCATTACCTCTCCCGCCCACCCATTGATAACATCCCTCACTTGCGCTACTCTCCACCCCTCGGACCCTTCTTGTCTCCGCACTTACCTCACCTACTGGATCCAAGTCTTCCCCCGCCTCGCTCGAGTCTTTACTCTGATCCTCTCTCTCTTCTCTCTCCCCGCCTATCGCAAATTCTACAATTCCCCCATCTCTTCTCTAAATACCCTCGCTATCCGTATCCTCAAATCTACCCTCTATATTTCTGGCGCCATCGGCACTAGCTGGGCTAGTATCTGCGCTTTCCAATCGATTCTGCCCAGACATGTCCTACCTACTCAGAGATTCTTCCTAGGAGGTGCATTGGGCGGTCTTTGGGGATTTGTAGTTAGAAAAGATGCAAGAGGAGAATTCTTATACAGTGCGCGTGCATCGATGGATTCGTTATGGAAGGTTGGCAAGAAGAGAGGATGGTGGAAGGGAATCAAGGGTGGTGATGTGTGGATTTTTGTCATTAGTTTAATGGCTATCGAAATGGCTTACGAGAGAGATGGAAGATCGTTAAGGAGTGGTATGTTGAGGAAGATGCTCAGTGGGATGAGGGGTGAGGGTTGGAGAGATTATGTCGCCGAGGAGGAAAAGAGACTAAAAGAGGAGAAGAAGTTGTAGAAGTTGTTTGGGCGAAAATTGGGAGTATTACGAGCATGCATTGGGTTTGAAGTACTGGCTAGATGATAAATCAAGGATTGAGAAGATCGAGATTTAGAAAAAGGGATTGATGAGGGGTCGGTTATCAGGGTCGGGTAGAGAATATGGAACTCTGCAATGGAAACGAGGTTGCTATTGTGGGGGACTTGCTCATCAGCGCCGTAGGGAAATCTGGGGAAGAGCTGTACTTTACAACTTCGTTTTTAGGGGGGCGATTCGGGAGTTTACGAGTGCTATTCACTTCACATTGTTCATGTTTCGAGGCGGAGATGAAGATGTTTATATATCCAGGCCGAGGCCATTTGCTCAACGAGCTGTTTTCTTTTGATGGTTAATTTTACTTTATTTATTTTGACATTCTCAGTATTTGAGATACTGTGCATTTGCGAAAGAACTTGAGTAATAGGTTTGATAAGACGTGATTAATATTAAACATTATTGATAACTGACTTTATCTTAATCTAACATTCTAGTTCTATATCTGAGAGGTTATATCCAGCTAGCCGACCATTCAAGTCCTTCTAGGGATCTCAATCTCGATCCAAACACCCCTCTCCTAAATCCAATCCACAAGCCCAGCAACATCGAGTACAGCAACTTCCTCGCCCCTTCACTCCTTGCTGAATACCAATGCGAACTCTTAAACCCAATCATTATTTCATTCCTCTCTCTACTTCTCCCTCTGACTCCTCCTTACACACTCCATCAATCCCCTCCTCCTCCTCCCCCTCCTCACGCCCCTCCTCCATCGCCACCTCGGATTCCCCATCCCCCCTCACCGTCATCAAAGACTCCACACGCTGCTCTCTATCGCTCGTATAGTTCGAACGACGCCTGGATAATATCCCCTCCCCAACACCACCCTCCCACCTCACCGTCTTCAAAGACTCCACACCCTGCTCTCTATCCCCACTATAACCCGAACGAAGCCTGGCCAGTAACCCCTCGTCAACCAATCGCTTCATATCCAATTCCGTACCTGCAGTCTCCTTATCCTTTTTCGGAAGTGTTTTTGCAATCTGAGCTAAGCGACCCCGAGCTGTCTGTTGCTTTTGTTTTTCCTCGCTACTTTGATTCTTCTCGCGCTTGATGTTCTGTTCCTCGCCATGTTCTGCGAAGGCGAGTGCAGCTGTAACTAGAGTATACATAGCTGTGTTTCCGGTTTGTTTTGACACTTTTGGGATCTGTTGTATTTAATTTCGGATTAGTTAGTTGGTCTATGAACCTTGGGCAAAGTTTGACTGTTTTCAATCACGCATGAGCAAACAAGTAACAAGTAGGTATGGTATGTACATTTATAAATCCACAAGGCAGAGGATCAATCGATTTGCAAGCAGGCGAGAGCATTTACGGCAAAAAGTCCACAGGGAGAGGATCAATCCGATAAACTATGCTAGGGTGCTCCAACCATTTCAAAATGTTCGTCTCCACCTCCGTTCCTACGATCGCCTTCTTTAGCTTTCATGGGCCCATCTACTACTTCATCTCCCTCGACCGTAACCTCCTTATCGCGAAATTGCCGCATGAGTTGTAGAAACTGACTATTCTGAAACTTCTCGCTTTGGTTATTACTAACACTAGATAAGAGTTCACCAGCTGTACGTGATAGCGCATCTGGTGCATGTATATTTTGTTCCGATGTAGCGGTCGCGGGATCTTCAATTGTATCTGCGCCGAGTAAGGCTTGGCCGAGTAGTTGTCTCTCCGCTTTGTCGAGTTCTGATTCGGCCTCCTTTGTAACTTGCAGTTGATCTAAAGCGTGAGTCTCTTCATGTTGGACACTAGCAGCTTGTGACTCTAGCTCCTGTTGTTGCGCCCTTTGGCTTTCCGCATTAGCTGCTTGTTCGAAAGCTCTGGCGAATGCCGCTTCATCAAAAACTTCATTGTTTTCTACCAATGACTGGCTCGTAGATGCAAGCTGATTTTGTTGCATAAGAACTCTAGGCATTGGATTAAATCCGACATTCATCATAGAAGGACGATTCATTGCCATAATAGGTTGATTCCCTTGCGCAATCATTCCCGGGGCTCCATGACTTTGCGCAAACTCCTGATGCCATCCTGCTCCCATTTGTGGTTGAATCGTTTGATGTACCCCTTGTTGTTGAAACTGCGCTTGAGGACCAGATATACTCATATTTTGGAAGTCGTTAGCCCATCCTTGACCTGAAAATTGTTGTGGTACGACGTTTTGAAAAGATTGAGGAGGTGGATTTTGGAAATGATGAGGAGAGAAGCTTTGCGCCGATGGAGAGGGACCAAGTGATTGGTGACCGGCTTGGAAAGCTGCAAACTCGGCATCTAGCTGACCGGCATTTGGACCTGGCGAAGCTCGAAAACCCTGCTGTATTGTTAGCAAAATTATGGCTGATAATAGAATGCGATTGGGAGTGGGTAAAGAATAATGTATGATACATACCTGCGCCGACGGCCCTCTACCAATTAATCGATCTTGTTGTAGAGTGCGATCAACATTCGAATGCTTTTGGAAATTCTGCAAAGCATTAGACGGACCACAAAGATTGTCGGCCATGTTTTTATTTCTTATTGCGAAAATTAATCTGAATTGATTGTGGTTGAGAGATTCCCAAGATTGCGATTATGTGATGATCCGGGAATGTGAGCTTGATTAACGAACCGAGGCTTATGAAATGGAATCAGTGAAGTTATAGAAGATGTAAGAAGAATAGAGATGTTTATTAGAAGATTACAAAAACGGTATAATTGTACTGAATGAATTTATACGAATCTATCTTCTCAATTAACTAGCCTTAAAAACCAATGAAACAAGTAAGGAAAAGGAAGAAAGGTAAGAGAAGAGAGGAGAAGATTGAAAGATGTCATCGCGTACCTACACTAGATTAAGACTCGGGATTTTGCCCCCCTAATGAGTAAGCGGTCAGGATAACAGCATCCTTATCACACAAATCACATGCAGGTTGAATTCTGCCGGGGAAATGTTTCCCCGATGTGTACCAAAAGCGGTAAGTGCCGCTTAGATACGATCTGGCAGCATCAATCAGTTGAGAGCTCCAGGAACTCAGAAGCTCTTTCGAAATACATATACAATCAATTAATTCCCTTGTGTCAGTATGGCGCAAACAATAACCAATTCGGGTCATGATGATATGATTGTGAGTATTTCTTGGTCCCATTTTTCTGGTTTTACCAGAAGTTGTTCATCATTAGCTTTCAGCGAGTTATCGAAAGTCAATAAACTAATTACTTGTTGTCTAGCACGATGCAGCTTTAGATTATTATGGTCGCAGACTGGCAACATGTTCGTCGGATCGTACAGTAAAGATCTTTGAAATCGAAGGGGAAACACATCGTCTTACAGAAACACTGAAGGGGTATGTTGCTTTCCTGAAATCCCTCTACACTTCAAATACACGGGCTTCGTGCGCTCAACACACTGGTTATTGCACATTGCACATTGCATATCTTCTACAAGTTCACGATGACCTATCTTCTTAACCTCCCACTGCTTTACCCTCTACCTAGCTAACATATCCACTCCAGCCACGAAGGAGCCATCTGGTCCATTTCCTGGGCTCACCCCAAATATGGTAACATCCTCGCCTCCGCAGGCTACGACGGCAAAGTTCTCATCTACCGCGAAACCTCATCGGTATGGACGAAAATCTACGATTTCGCTCTGCACACTGCATCCGTCAATTCTCTGTCCTGGTGTCCCCATGAATCCGGATGTCTCCTCGCTTGCGCATCCTCGGATGGAAATGTTTCGGTTCTAGAATTCAAGGATAACTCCATGGACCATAAGATTTTCCATGCGCATGGTATTGGTGTGAATAGTGTCTCTTGGGCGCCATCTTCGCAGCCGGGTAGTTTGGTCAGTGCGAATGCGGGAGGAAAGGAAGGTGGTGTGAGGAGATTTGTTACAGGTGGAAGTGATAATCTTTTAAGGATTTGGGGCTGGGATCAAGCTAGTTTGAGCTATAAGGTTGAAGGGGCTCCATTACAGGGACATGGCGACTGGGTTAGGGATGTTGCGTGGAGTCCTACGGTTTTGCAAAAAAGTATGTTTTCCCCGTTTTTTATTTCCATCATTTCCCCATCCCCCACAATGAAGGATTCAAACAACCAACAAATCAATAGGTTACATAGCATCCGCTTCCCAAGACAAAACCGTGCGCATCTGGACCTCATCCGCAGCTTCTAGCCCAGGTCAATGGGAATCTAAAGTTCTCCAATTTGAACGCGAAGTCTGGCGCGTATCGTGGAGTTTGAGCGGAAACGTATTGGCAGTTAGTGGAGGTGATAATAAGGTTTCTTTATGGAAGGAAAATTTGAGGGGCGAGTGGGAATGTGTTAAGGAGATTGAGGAATAGATTTTAGTCAAAAGGCGCGCGCAGAGGCAGGAGGTGGGGGACGAAATGAAGAGAAAGAAGTTGAGAAGTTGATCAAGCGTTCGTGCGAGTAGATGAGGCGTTTTGGGACAGATACCGTAGGCAGGTAAACATAAAGACAAAAGATAAACTTCGAATAAAATGATATACAAAGTACAGAGAAGAGCTGCAAGTTTGTAAGTTTGACAAAAAAGAAAGAGAATTCGGGGTACAAAAGAACACATGCAGAACGCAAAGCACTCTCTTGAGTTTACATGTATGTTTACTTATATGTTTACTTATATGTTTACTTATATTCTTATGTTGTATTTCAACACACATGTATACAGTAGATAATCATTCACATTATACCTATCCGTACATCAATACACACTCCGTACATCATTACACACACATCCAGCACATCACACAAATCTCTATCTCCATTCCTCTTTGATCATTTTTCAATGCCTCATTCTTTAATTCTCATCAAGATCCTCAATCTACGAACCAGCTCGGTTCTCTCATGTCCATCCTCCATGAAGTACGTGTTACGTGCGCTCTTTCCTTTCTACAATCTATAAAAATCTTCGAGAAACGAAACGGCACGAATCCATACGAAAATGACCATTCATTCCATTTGAACTCAAGAAAAGTACATCGCTCGCTGATCAATGCCCGCCCGCGTGCATACATGCATACTTTCAATTAGATGGATCTAGATCTAGATCTAGATCTCAAACTCATTCGCATCTAACCTTCACCCAAATCTTGCTTCCCTCCACCTCCACCACCACAACCTCCTCCACGAAAGTAAAAAAATGCAGACGCTGATGTAAACGCGGATCACAAACGCAGAAACCCATATATTGCAAGATACCGCCCCATTCTCAACGCCATATTGTGAAGAAAAAAAGGGGGGTATACCCACGACGCAGATCCATTTATATCCAGCCAACACCCCAATCCCATTCCCAATCCCTCAAAACAAACTCCCTCCCTTTTGCAAATCAACCCACCCACTTCCTTCCCTACTGCTCACTTCTTACCAAAGAAAAACATTAATATGAAAATTGAAACAAGGAAAGAGAATCGCGCAAATAATTTTTGAAAAAGAGAATACCAAAAGTACGTTGAAGAATATTTGTCTGGAAAGAATGTCGAGAGTTGGTAAAATATGTGCAAATCAAGGCGAAGAGACTTGAGAGTAAACGATGCCCGAGGTTCGTTGTTAAATATGAAAAAATTCATAATGTTGGTCCAAAATAATACTGTTTGTTAAAACGAAAAGAAGTAATTCAGTCGCGTTATGATTCTATGTTTCAATGTTTGTCATCAGATGTGTCGGGTATGTTAAAACGGTATGCTTGCTGTTGCTGCGTTGGTGCTTTGAAAATATGCCCATGATCTTGGATAGATTCATCCCAAGTATCGTTAATTGATAGCCTTAAATCGAGGAATTCATTCCCCATTTTAATGTTAGATGTGACGGGCACTGAAAAGTCACGGCAAACCATTAAATGAAATATGGTTAGCTCGCAAGAGCAGAAAGCTAACAATGGTTGTAGAGCTTCAAGAGTTTGAGAAATTTCAAAGCTTCCTCGCCATCAATGGGCTCTGCTGCATCACTCTCATCAGTATTCCAGAAAACGAATGGTCCTGACATGACATTCCTAGAAGAATGAGATTGCGCATCGAGCCATCGACCAACAATGATGCGACCACCAGGTAAAACACAACCTTCATAGCCCCAAGACTGCCCTGGATCATGGAATCCATTCTGATCTGGGAAAAACTTCATGATGGTAATTCTTTGAAAGCCGGGAATCCCATGTTGTGGAGGAATCCCATGTACAGCTCCATAGAAATGAGCAGTCGAGGAAGAGTCATGTGAAGAACCATAGAAGTACTTCACACCTGGATTAGGGTTTTCTCTTGGTTTCTTGATGTCTTTTTTCGATCGAGTAGCGCGTCTCGAGGCACGACGTTGAGGAGTGGGCTCAGGGGTAGCATTAGAGAATGGATCACTATGAAGGATTGTTTCCCATGACTTGGGCCATTGTTTCTCTCCGAAAATCTGGTCGTCGAAAAATAGAGATATATCCTGTCGCAACACCAAGTTAGTCATCCTGCACCACTGACACGTTCCCATGATTGGCTTACCTGAAATGACTCCCCACCATCTAGTTCATCCGAGTAAGGACCATCGTCAGTTTCTTCTCCAGCTTGTCTCATTCTTGCCAATTCATCAGGATTGACATAAACTAAGGTCGAATTAGTTTGCGGGAATTTGAGGCAGCATTTATCGTCGACACTTACAATAGGCCCCTTTCCAATGGCTTCCTAGCCTTTGTGTTCCTGACTTCAATCGACCCAACCATGGTTGTGGTAATTGACTTTGTTCAAGTTCGGCATAGGCATGAGCGAGAAGTCCTTCACCCTTTCCAGCTTTGAGGTGAAACTTGAAGAAATTCGCCACATGTAAACACCAACGGACGTTGAGATCACCCTTCCATTTCCCGAGAAACAATGGTTGTCTCGCTGGTGGTGCGTAAACCTCCAACTGGGACAAGTCGAACTGAGAGATTGTATTTGTGCAATATCTTGGATCCCAAGAAATGGATGTCAAGCATAGTTGAATCAACAACACTCGGGTGTTGGCATTACTATCAACTGAACAAATCGCTTTCAGATTCCACTCATTACGAGTTTTCGCAATGGAATCAATGATATCAATGATATCTCCAGCATGAGTTGTGCCCGAGACGAAGGATCCTTCAACATATTGTCTAATGTAATCGATATTGCGACTTACAATCATCTCATCGCCGTTGTCGTCATAACTTTTGTAGGCATCGGATTCTGTACCATTTCATTAGTATGTACGCTTGATGAAGACAGCTTCAAAAGAGACATACCAATTATAAGATTCTGGAGCATATCAAGGACCTTTTCTTGTGCCTTTTCGATTCGTGCGATATCTGCAGTAGGAAGGTACCTGTACTTGTTGAATTCGAACTTAGTGTAGAGTTTGGTGGTCGTGTGTCTGACCTGATACTTCTCCCTCAAAAGCTCTACGGGCGCATCGGGTACCGCATCAAATTTCTCCAGAAATCGATAACGCCAGACACTATCCGACATAGCACTGCGAGTGTTTCGACAGATCTGAGAGTATCGTATGATGTCTCGATCGTGGGACAAGAACTTGACGATATTTTGGTGTACCTGTATTTGCGTGGTTAGCAAATAGAGTCTAGGGGGAAGCATACGCAAATCTCGGACGACTATTCGCAATGACTTCAACAATGTTGTTCGTAGCCTGAGGAATAAGGGATGTCGTCAAGTGATCTTCAGGTTATCGCAATCAGACGAATGAATCTGATGTAGTTGTCGGTACGACGACATACACGACTGTCGAACATGAGTAGAAATATTTAAAAGACAGAACGTACCTCTGTTGGGATAACTTCCTTAAACAACTTGTCAAGGTTAGTATTTGGAGCAGCAACTGTTGCAGCAGCCATTGCAATAGGACCTGAGTCAACGACAATAACCGATCCAGTATCGGAGTCGTCATCATCCTCATCACTCCAAGCAGTAACACTACTATCGAGTGCGCCGATCTGGGAAGACTTGTTGTCATCGTCATCGTCGTTTTCTACCGAGGAGGAATCGTCGCTATCCGAAACTACTAAATAGGCCTTGGCTCGCTTGGATCGAGAGACTTCGAACGATTCGTCCTTCTTCCTCTTGGATACGGTATAGGGAAGTATTGATTGAGTAGAGCGTTGAGAAACGTTCTTCTTCCTCTTGGTCGGCATCTTGAGGTACGTAGGTGGTGATGATTGGAGGCCGAAGATGAATTGAAATGAGATTGCAAGTGCGAAGATTTTCAATTGAGATGTGTTGATGGAAGTTTTAAGACACTGCGACGGCACGAATGGAGTTGGGAGAAGTTATTTAATGTTAAAATGATGGATGTGATAGTTGGGTGGGAGTTGAAGGTGATAAATTCTTGAAGACTTAATGAGGTAGAGGTAGGCTAGAAAACTAGTAGTGAATCTGGAGCTGGCTAGCTGATCTTCGGGGTCAAAAGATGGTTAGTTGGAAAGCAAGAATCAATATGTATTGGAAAAGATCAAATCGATAATGTCGAAACGATCTCTGGCTATGTAACGTATGTGTTTTCTACTGAAATTTAATTAGATTGAGAGATCCTTTTCGAGATATGATATATCGGGAAGGGGCATCTGGGAAAAAAAGAGGAAGGCAGTCTGTCAGCCTTACCCCTCATACCCTTAGCCTGTGCTATAATTGGAAAGATCACACCTACCTGCATAAGCCACACATATTCGGGGACTTTTGATTGGTCTAAATCAAGAACACAAACAAGTGATGGACGAGGCTCACAATTGACCGGTACTAGGTGGCATTTCGATAGTTCAAGGGCTTCACGTGAAGTATGATATTTTGCTAGTAGGAAACATAGGAAGAACCATAAGATCTTGAGGTAACGATTTTAGTCGAACTTTGGACGATACCTTCGCTACTAGAGGAATTTCCACAATCGTATCGACTTTTTGGGGTTGTCGATGAACCTTTTTGCAGTGGTGAATTATTGTAAGGTGTACTAGGTAGGTAGATACGGAAGTGGCCCTCCCTTTCCAATTCTGTTTCTGTACAATAGGAATGATTCCAATTTGCAAACGACCATCATGACCTTGGCTTGAACATGGAAATTCGTAGTCTAGCAAGTAGGAAACGCCAGGAGCATTCTAGCAACCTCTTGCCATTTGGATTTGGATTTGGCCTTGGATATTGATGATATTCCTTATGTCAGGGTGCTACTTTTTTGGTGGTTTGGTGGGAAGTATTCATTTCACCCTTTCAGATCATTTCACCGAGACAAAAGGAATGGAAATGGTGGAGAAAGAGCAAGAGCAAGAGCAAGATCAAAGAGAAGGAATTGGAAAATACTTTGATACCTTGATACCTTATTATCATAAAGGCATTTCAACTGTTTACTTTTTCGAAGGGGATTTGTCAAGGCCTTATTGTTTCCTATCAATGAATATGAGATATGCAGGTGGTAGGTAGTAACTGGTCTGGATTGAGGTTCGTTTGTAATTCGTTTGTAGTGATGCTTTGACCTTGTGAGAGAAGTAAGATAAATATAAGGATAGCTTTCTACTCATCCTCAGACTTTGGACGACAGGACTACTCGAGTAGAAAGGAATATCAATTCAAGTCGAATCGATTTAATTTGATTTAATTTAATTTAATTTAATTTAATTTAATTTAATTTAATTTAATTTAATTCAATTCAATTTAATCCAATTCAATTCTCCAACAATGTCAATGTCAATGTCAGTGTCAACGTCAACGCCAACGTCAAGTCTAAAATTTAAACAATGTCGATACTTCCAATACCGAGGTCTACCAGCTTATTATAGGATCATCAATCAATCAATCGCCTCGATGTCTCACTTAACTCACCTAACTTCACTCTCATTTCCGCTCCCCATTTTTGATAATGAATGACATCTCTTTTGACCTTTTGAACCTTTATCTCTCTTTATCTTCGTATCCAACCACTCACCTACTCCCTCTTCCCCATCCAACTCGCTGTCCCAAAGTTTCCAGAGTTCGGATATCGCCTTTTTCCCTCGGTGTGGCTGATGGCTGATGGCTGATGGCTGATGGCTTTCCCGGACATCTTTCCATGATCTGCTCTCCGTCTGGGCAAATCAACGGGAAAGCCATGTAAGTCATGTTCAACATCTCTGGGCGTAAGCTTTATGCACCTTTCCACGATCTTATTCACACTCCCGTCTGGGCGACAGGGCTCTCTTCATACAGACCCAAGACGGGAGGCTGCAACAAAAGTCTGGGCAATCTGCACCTCATGTTGCTTCAAATTACAACAACTTCAATATCCATCATCATTCACCACCTGGGCATACATAACCAAAATCGATTCCCCAACTTGATACGTTTTCGCATTCGCCACATGGATTCTTCTTCTAACCAACTACCTACCTACTAAGGACAAACGAACAGCTTCGAAAATAACCCATATCTCCATCCATTGTTTCTCCATCTCTCCTACAAACTTGACATGAGACGAGAAGATCCACCTCTCATGCGGCACACCATTGCTTATCTGTGGCTTATGACTTCGTTCGTTTTCTTGACCAACCTTCATTGTTAAAACCTGGAATTAGAAACTTCAAGGGAGAAAATGGATACCTCGTCTCGACAATCCCCGAATTTCCAGATTAGGTCAAGATAAGCATGAATTGAGGAATCATAAACCAATCATGAACCTTTCTTGCCTCTTCATTGCTGACTATTCCCAACTATTTCGTACCTTTACCAAACCCAGGTATTCCGACGAAAATGTTCTCCATTCATTCAACATGGATAAACCTTCCCAAATCATTACAATGCTACCGATAATAGGGCTACGCGGCACGGCCGATTTTGCAAATTTCTTATCGAAATATTCCTTCGTTCCGTTTTCTTCCCATGAACTTCTAATTTCACAAGTATCATCATCCTTTGGAATATATCTTCCTATCTCTTGCATACGTCGCCAATGAATTGATCATCCGACTCTCTTATCTTCAAACCGTCAGCCAAGGACGTTAAAATAGTGCCCCAATCTTCCTCTGCTACATTATCCATCGTTCTCGCTCTATATATATACACGCGTTGGTATATTCACAGATTTTTACTTTCTTGGCCAAGCTTCTTTTTCAAGAAAAGTTCACCGTTTCTTGTGCGTTCGTTCGTTCGCTCGCTCGTTCGCCATGCCTTCTACCGACAATGCCGAGAAGAAGATCGACGAACATAACCGTGCTTCAGATTCATCCAACGTCGAAAAAGGTGATATCATTCCGCGAAATGAAAACGCTGCCACGAGACACGAAGATCAAACAATTGCCATTCTCGAACTCGTAAAGGCTCAAGATGAACATCATCCTATGCACTGGCCTGCCTTCAAACGATGGGGTATCGTGGTGGTTTATTGCATGTTGCAGACATTTGTTACTCTTACCAGTACAACTTATGTCTCTGCTGAATTCTTGATCCAAGAAAAGTTTGGAGGAACTACTCAAATCGTTACTTTGGGTCAGAGTATGTTCATTTTGGGAACAGCTGTCGGTCCCATCTTTTTGGGTCCATTATCGTAGGTTGAACACAACATATGACGCACAACGCGATCATCGTGGTTGTGAACAAGAACTATAACTGAACATTCACAGTGACCTGGGTGGCCGCAAATGGATTTATGTTATCAGCATTGCATTCTATGCAGTTTTGAACTTTGTGAGTCATTTTCGGAGCAATCTCCAATATTCTTTTTAACGAGTCTTAGGGAACCGCATATGCTCTTAACCTTCCTATGCTTGTTATCTTTATGTTCCTTGCTGGCACGGCAGGTTCTACTGCTCTTTCTAATGTAGCTGGTACAATCGCGGATCTCTTTGGTGACATTGATGGCGCCGGACAAGCAATGGCACTCTTCGTCATGTGTAAGTACTGAATCACACTCCAACCCTTGATGTCATGGACAAAAAATACTAATGACGTACACACAGCTGCAAATATTGGTCCATCTCTTGGATCTCCTGTTGGAGAGTGGATTTCCGAAAATGCAAACATGGGTCTCAAATGGATCTTTTTGATTAACGTAATCATCGGATTCGCATTTTCTATCTTATTGTGTTTCATCCCAGAAACACTACCAAGATTAGTTATCGCCAAAGCAGCCGCAAAGAGTGCAACTGTCGATGAGCAAGAAGCTGCCATCTTGACAAGCAGACTCAATGTTCTCCACGAAATGAAGTTCATCACAACCATGACGTTCAAAATCATGTTCACAGAGCCAGTCGTTATGTTCCTCGGGTTGTACAACGGTTTCGCCTACGGTATCCTCTTCTTATACCTCGACGGTGTATTTGATGTTTTCGTCGTCAACAATGGTCTTACTTACATCGGTGCCGATCTTACATATCTTAATTTCGTCGTCGGTGTAGTAGTCATGTTTCTCTTCGTTCCGGTTCAAACTTGGTTCTACGCGAGAGATCGTAAGAAGCATGGTATCAACCGTCCAGAAGCTAGATTCATCACTTCTTTGGTGACCGTCTGGCTTTTCCCAATTACACTTCTTTGGTTCGCATTCACATCTGATGGAAGCGTATCTTATTGGTCACCAGTTGTAGCAGGTGGTGTTCTTGGTTTTGCAGATCCATTATTGTGGCTTAGTATGCTTAATTACATTACTGGTATGTTCCCCCTTCATGATACCGCTTACATCTCGCTAATTTTCACCTCTTCAGACTCTTATCCCAACGTCGCCGGTGCAGCAATCGCAGCTTTCCTCATTCCATCTTTTGCTCTCGCAGCAGGTCTCGCCCATCTCGGTGTCCTCATGTTCGATAACATGTCTACGAAATGGGCTATGGGTACTATTGGATTCATTAGTATTGGTCTTTGTGCTTTGATTTACTTTATCTATTTCTTTGGTGCAAAGATTAGATCGAGATCGAAGCTTGCGAGAAAATATTAGATGAGGTGGATGAAACGATGGATGAGATGTAACAGTATGACTGAGATTGGATTGTGTGTATGAGATTTGTATTACATTGCATTGGGTTGCGTTGGATTGGGACGGGATAAAAGCTCTTGAGCGGCGGATGGATATTTTGGTATCTGGAATTCTGGATTGCTTGCGAATGTTATCATCATCGATATGTTGACGCGTACATGGAAGACGAATTCGCACACGTTATGTTATGTTATGAACTGGGTGGAAAACTTTGATTCCTTTTTTTTTGTTCATACATTTAATACCCTGTTGTATAGTATAGATAGCGCGAATTTTGTTAATTTATAAAATTCATGAGTAGAGATTATCATTCCTATTTTTTTTTCCTCCTGCATTCAAGATTTGTGGGCTTAAAGGCCAAAATACTTTTCGTGTCGGCGTGATGATCAAACCGTGTAGTTGAAGGACTTCTCTCCTCGCTCTCTCCTGTGTTGTGCTTGTGGCTTTGCGGAAATGTGGGAATGTGGGAATGTTGGGAGGAGAGTGGAAGAGTAGTGGTTTTTAAAAATTCGTAAGATTATTAGAGTTTGGATCAATGGCTGATTGATTGCTATGCTATGCTATGCTATGCTATGCTATGCTGTGAGTAGGAGGGGGGATGTGTGAATGGGAATGGGAATGGGAATGGGAATGGGAATGGGAATGGGTTTGTGAATGGATGATGTATGATGTATGATATACTCGTAGAGAGAGATATTTGATTTGGGTTATTTGATAGGGGTTAGAGGGGTTAGAGGGGCTTGGGGGGCTTGGGGGGAAGGAGGGGAAGAAGAGGGTGTGAAGGGTTTTTGGGGATATGAGGTTATTTTATGTATTGTATTGGGATACTTGATTTGTGGTGTTTGAGATGAATTAAAGAGCTTGAGGGAATGTGTGAATAGGTTTGTTAGATCTATGATATAAAGATATTTAATTTCTACTATCTGATATGCATTAGATGTGTGAGAGTTCTTGTATAAAAGGGTTTCCGAATTACAAACTCATTAAATATATTATATTGAGGCATTCAGTTTTTCAATTGATATCGTTTGGTAAATGTGAGATAATTTAGAGGGAATATATGTGAAAAGGGATTCGAGGATGCACGTTTATCGCATGTATAGTATTGAGATGTTCAAGTTGTATTATCTGATGTATCTATATAAAATGAGTCAGAGTTACTGTATGAAACGCTCACAGGTTATATATTCGTTGTATATATAAAAAATGTCTTTCGAATACATACATTGATAATGACACCAATCAACACAAGAAAGAAACAACATCATCCACACAATCAACTTATCCTGCACTTCTTTGTCATCTCCTTTCTCTTTATCACGCATCTTCCAGGAACAATACGATTGTCGTGCGAACAGTTCCTCAAGACGACGATATAGATATATCATCATGAAAAGACGAAGAACAGGAAGTGAACAAATTTGCATGGGGAAGTATAAATGGCTTGATTATATCTGAAAGATGTTATTTCTTTAGAACTCAAACTTCCTTCATAACTACTCTACTCTACTATTCATACTTCTGTAACTTTATATCGGTTGTCTTTTTGAGTAGATATAGAAAATTTCACGGGTATTTGCAATTATGGCGAATATTATCATGCAAGATACTGTTATACACGATACTCTCATGCAAGATACTGTCATGCAAGATACTACCACGCAAGATACTGTCGTGCTGGCCCTCGTGCGAAAAATAACGAGGATGAAAAGACTCAAGAAAAATGGAGTGAAAGTTGCGAGCGAGGTACCTCCAGTCCGCGAAGACTCTTGTTGGGAACCTACCGAGATATCCTACCTTCTTCATCTCTACACTATTAACGAAAACAATATCTCTAGGACTGAAAAGGGCGCGATCTACTACGGTAAAGGCGTCGCAGCTACCCTTGTCCGCGACATGACGGCCGAGTCTGTAAAACATAGCCCAGGAGGCTCGTTACACGCATCTGATCCATGGTACCCCAGAAATTACACCCTTCCGTTGATTGTTGCAAAGATACGGTGCTTGATTCACGAAGAAGATGACTTGGCGGTCGAGTTGGAGGCCGAGTTGAATGCTCACTATGGTAATGTCCCAGATCCCGTAGCAAAACAACCTTCTCGGTTTGCAGTCGAGAGACGGAGACGAGCATTGGCGAAAGAGTTAAAGCAGAAGCAGAAGCAGAAGCAGAAGCCGGAACTCATTATTGTAGAAGAAGCACTTCGAGAGGCAGAGCGCGTACTTGGTGAAGAGCTAGTTCAAAATGCAAACCAGACACTTAGATTAGAATTCAAGAAAGTCAAAAAGCCCGTTATCACTGATAAGACCGATGCTTGATCAACTCTGACCTTCATTTCTTACCTCGTGCTCTCGTTCAAATCTAGGCTGGTCCTAATCTCCACGCAATCTTCTCATTTCCACTACTAAACCCATTGTAAATCTGCAAACCACAATAAAAACACAACTTTCCTTATAAAAATATAATCGTGCACCAGTGAAAATGATAAACGCCCATCTCAAAAGTCAAAAGCCTTGGAACTGAAGGATCACCAGTGGGTGTACGGATTGACGGAACACTTCTCAACTTTCGAAATTTCTAATAAATTCGTTCTCCAATTGTTTGATATCGAAATTTGTAATTTGATTTTTTCAAATCTAATGGATGAACGTAACAACACTCAAAGATATCTAATTCGATACATCGAGAGATGTTGACAAGTCCATTCTTGTAGCGTCCCGTCAATCCGTACACCTACTGGTGGATTGAGTTATTAAACTAACGAACAATACATTTTGTCAGTCTGCACATAGCACAGAATACATGGTTTATCTTCCAATGTTATTCTTATAAAGCACACTTGTGCAAGACCCTTGATAGTAATGGTTGTTCTCATGACACGTGAATATACTTCTTGTTTTCTTAAATCATCATCATTATCATCATAATCTTAATTTAATACCATCTGTCCCAATTGATTCTTTTCAATTCATAATGCATCATACACACTCAAATATTCTCCACTCCCATACAGTACAGCCGTACCATTGCACCTCGAATCCTGAGATGCACAATTCAATCGTATGCCCACGAGCAGGAACTTGTACAGAAACAGAAATCAAAACAGACCAAATAATGATCATCAAATACCTTCCGATCGCCCATTGCATGTCCTTGTGTCCAGCGTCCATCATATCCCAAGTTGCTGTGATTACTCAACTGTGATTTCAGCAGTTGGGTCTTTTCTAATATCCAATTCCATTAAACCTTCTTTCTTGTCGATAACAAGACCCTTCTCGTTGGCCAAATGTAGAAGACAGATGAAACAATAACTAGTCGAGATATCATTCATGACTTGCTTTGGATATACAGTCTGAAGGTTTTGCATGACGGTTGTAAACTGAAGGGTTTCATTTTCATCCGTAGGAATTTTGACAGGTGGGGTTGGGAGTCGTGATGAAGAAAGTGACATATCCTGTTTCAATTCGTTAGTGATAACATTCGGGTATTATAAGGAGCAGATAAACTTACTGGTTGTTCAGGCTCATTGAATCCAATGCCCTTCCATAACTCCTCTTTCAACCTCCTAACGTCAACCTTCTTGGCAACCCTAGCATATTGCACATATTCAGGCCTTAATCTTCTACTTTGTGTAACCAGCTGTGTACCAAACGCGCCCTCTTCTCCGTCTACACCTTGAGCTCCGGCATTCAATATGGCAGCGATACCACCAATGCCTGCACCTTGTCCTTCAGCTCCAGGAGAAAATTGTTCACGTGCGTCGGCGAATTCCATATCATCATCATCATCTATACCTGGCATGGCCAAACCATCATCTTGGAAGAAGTTGGCATCATAATCTCCATGAGGTGGAGCTTCATCCTCTAATGTGTGAGCAGGTTCTTCTTTTCGTGCCCAATAATCTTCACCAATCTCGCCTTCAGGGATATCATCCTCCTTCTTTTGACCAAAAGTTCCGGGCTTGGCACCGAACCCGGATTTTCGACTACCCATTCTAGCTTTAGGTTTAAGGAAAAGACGTAACAGTTGTTTGGAGTTGAAATGCTTGTCATCGGGAAGAAGATTTCTTGTCTTGGACTTCCAATCTTTCTTTGGTAACGATATCGTAGCATTGGTTGGTGCATGAGTATATATGGTTTCAGCCAAAGTGGCATTTAAAGGAGAGATGAAGTCGATTTCGAACGGCTCTTTCTCTTTGCGCGGCTTTGTAACTGCTGGCTTGTTGACATCTTTGATCTTTCGTATCCTCCAGTGTTCAGGGCCGGCCCAATTCTTTTGCAACGCCTCGTCGAAATAACTCAAAATATCATCATGACCGCCTTCCTTCTTTAATCCACGATCAAGAGATATGATGTACTCGCCAGTTTCGGGGTCAAATGAACCAGCGCCTCCTTCTCCATCCTCACCATCGCCACTATCATTATCGTATCCCACATCGTGGACTCGCATGCGTGGTTCGATTGCGGCATCACGAGCCCAAGCTTCACCACCTTCACCGAATCCAGCATCATCTGGAATATCGAAATTTCCAAGGAGTCCATCGTCGTCATCATCGAATCCAATAGGGTTATCATCGTCGAGGAAAATTCCTGACCTATCACCAACACCATTGTCATCCGACTTGTCTTTCTCTTGTCGCCAATCTTCTGGTGCCTTTAAAAATGGAATATCCATAGAACCAGAGGGATCTCCAAGGTCGAAATTCTTTAATGATGGACAAATGTCCTGTTCTTCGAGGAAATCCAAGTTCGGGAAAAACTTGACTCCTAAAGCTTCCACATCTATCTCCACGTCATCTCCATCATCTTCGTCATCCTCATCATCTTTCAGAGTGACATTCGCTGATTCTAAAACATCTTCCTCATCCTCTTCAATGGCGTCAGCCTTTCGTCTTCTACCCCGTCCTTCTGCCGAAGCGTCACCGGCGTCATCGCTACTGTCAAAAACAATACGCCCTTTAGAGTCGATAGAGAGATGATTTAAAAGTAGACCTTTAGCACCACCCTCATCGAAGTCTGCAGATGCTTTTTTGAATAAAGGATCAACGGAGAATTCAAGTTCGAACTTCTTCAATTGTAATGCTGAAAACGAAGTTGCAAGAGTTGCTTCCGATGAGCGTTGAGTCTGAACTTATGATTAGCTATTGTTTTTCTGATCAATTACACCAAGTCCACGATTTGTCCAAGACAAACAGGTATCACAATCAGACTTAATCTAAGATTGGGTGAGCCTCGGGATTTAAATCGAGCTGAATACTTCTTGGAAAGGCACTAGAACCAAAAAATCTTTACACTCCAAGAAGAAATTTCCTTTCGCAGTCGCCAAACCAAAAAGGATGAAACGAGAAAGATAAAGTTGAATGAACTGAGGATTAAGGTAGTAGATCATGGACTGGCGCCTAGTCCTAACGGAACTTTGAGACCAAAAACCTTATGAAGTAGAGATCGCGGATTGATATGGGTTGACTGTGTTCATCATCGTCCTCGCCGTTCTACAGGACCAATTCCACCAGCAGAAAATGAAACAAATGGGAGACAAAAAGAAATATCAAACATACAACAGTGGGGATTCGCTGGTGGTCACCCACCCAACTACTAATCCACCGATCTGAAGCTTGTGTATGGCAGAGCGGACGGGATGCCCAATTCTCTTCAGTCTATGGTCGTATGTGCCAGTAGTTCTCTCATCTGAATTTATATTCAGATGAAAGCTCCAGTCTTCTTCCAAAAGCATGTCGCTAGACAAAAATCCAAATACGACCAGCACACCCTACCACTTGGGTAGATATATGTTGTGCGACCACAATCCTGCTTCACATGAAATGCGATCTTCTATATCTCAACATGAGATGTGACTTGTTTTGAAAAACTTGTACGTCGGCTGGAGAGGAACAAAGTAATAATGAATGTAAGTGGCACATACCCTTTTCTTTGCCTTCTTCCTAACAACTCCATCTTCATCTTCTACCTCTTCCTCACTCTCATCTCCTTCGCCTTCCTCATTTTCGCCCCTTTTCTTCTTGTTGTTGCCGCTATCTGCCAATCCACTCAAAAGCTTGCCGGTCTCTGTAGCTACACTGTCGACTCGACTCGTATAAATTTTTACACACCCATCAAGAGTGTAACTGGCCTTTTGAAAATTGACTCCATCACCCTCCTTCAAAAGTGACATGTCATGAAAATAATCAATAAGCGCAAAGTTCCAGGAATTTGCAGCATTGATTTTATTGTCTGTGGCCATCTTCATCCATTCCTCGAAGTTTGCGAGAATTGGTACGCGCTTCATGGGAGTGACTGCGTTTCCTCCAACCATCATAACCCCGCCATCCAAATCATTCTCTTTTCCCACTCGTCCCGGTGTTCTGTGGTTCACTGACGGTGAGGAGCTTCCTGCTCGTTCAAAGTTCACTAATTTCCGTGGAGTTGCAGCCTTTTTGATTTCGTTCATCTGAGTTTCATGGTGGGCATTTCTCGATTTTAATCGTTTTGCTTTTTCTCGCGCATCGTCATTGAGAGCCAATTTCACTGGCGATGCATCATTCAAAGGTACCCTGCCATCAATCAGTATTGAAAAGTCTCATTCTGCAGAGCGCACGCAAACGAAAAGCATCACATCTGCCACAGATATGGACATTAAACACCATAGCAACGAGGGCAATCATACTTCACGGGAGATTTTGCAGGAGTTGGTAAAGAGCCAGAAGCAACTCTACCCCTCTTCGCACTTGGGTTTTGTGCAACTCTAGGCATATCAAAAAATATAAAAGTTGACGTGATAGGCAGATATGTTGCAATGATGTTAAGTTTGACCTTTGTTTATTTTCTATTATTTACATTTTGGTAGGGACAGCGGGGACCGATTACCCAACCCCGACGCGAGTATTACAACCTTAGGTATCAAGAAAATGGCTTACATAAGCTGATGCGGAATCGAGATAGGACCTTTTATTACATGGTGATTGATTGCCACACCACTTTCGTCAAGAACCGGCGAAAGGATGAATTCTTGAATAAGATACCTAATAAATCCCACTCCCATTTCAATTTGGTGTATCAGATAATACCTCCCCTCAAGTGTTAAGAAAGTGTTATTATATCCTTCCTATCGGTACCTACCTCTCGTCAGGAACACGACGAGAAACACCAGTGGATGTAAGCTTCAAGGTTATCTTGTTACTCCATACACGTTTGCCGTTGATCACCCTTGTCTCAGGTTTATCGATAACCTATCTAGTATCTAGTACTTCTAGAGGTGGACCAGACCCAGTCATTAGCCACACATACGTGCGATTACGATGTTATTTACCATTCACTCTTAT